AGCATTTGATCAATCAATCATTTTTATATAGAAGAATGCATTTAGTTCTTGAACACAGAACAGCATAAAACATTTTAACCCTGCTGTTATATTTCTTAGCCATTTTGAACTCCAGTTATAGGACTTTATAAAGGTGCCTCATGCAGTTAGTGATGCCACTTCATTCAGCCAATGAGCTGTTCTGCTCACCAACCAATCAACACTCAGTAGCAGTAATATAATAGTATATATATGCAAGCGATTCGATATATATATATATGATTTAGGAATCGTATGCGGGAACCCTCTAGTGTCTTTGATATAATTGGAAAAACAAGAAGTGGCCAGGCAATTAAACTTAATTAAATCACAGTGCAGAAGGATAATATGTCGATTTCCAATCCACAACTCAACCTCTTTACTGAACAAAATGTGCAGGCCTCGGACCTTGTCGGTTAAAGGAATATCTCAGCGAAAAGTCAAATTAAATCATCAAAACGTCACTACGCAGGTATCCCGTTTGTTGTTGTTGTTTTGTTTTTTTTTTAACATGGCTGAGGCTTCATGATACTGCACAAGATAGCAAGAGTGTTGTTCAGTAAAAGTATCGCGCAAAATTTCAGTGTATGCCGTGATCATTTTTACCTGAATATTACAAGGAAAGTCGCAAACGGGATTTTCTAAACTCTACAACTGTTCCAAGCAAATTATTACGGATGCGAAGTGAATTTGAGGTAAGCTTTGTTTACTTTTTCTCCGTCTTCGCTGTCCGTTTTGTACTTACTTACCTACTCATTATGTTAAGAAATAAACAAATCTTTTGCCAATTTGATAAAAAAAAAGGGCAGCCATTAATATCTCCCACACCCCACCTGTTAGAATCACCTATTGTTCGAGAGGCCATAGCGAGATGTGTCCGGTGGATTCGGCTGACGCATTTATTCATGTGTATACTCAAGTTCAAACACATACGGCTGAAAAACTCAGATTTACAAGAACTCAAGGGAATAATAAGAGATAAATCAATTCATTTTTCAACTCATACAAATCTTCTCATCTGAGTGGCCTTCGGCGGAACTGCCGCCTCTTAATTTCCATCTACAGGTTGAGGAATATAAAACTGCGTCATGGTCAACACTTTGACCTTTTCACACGAAACAGAAGTCAGCTTCCCATTCCACCTTAAATACTGCAGCAGTTTCATTCTCGCACCTCAGAACGGGAAAATTCGAACAGGAATCTGGAGCAGCAGCTTCAGCCTCGTCCTTTTCACTAACATTAACTTACTTACTGTAAACGATGCTATATGGAACATACTGGTGCCATTGTTTCAGAATACTTTAGAGAAATCTAAAAAAAAAAACAGAATAAAAAGTGCTGTCAAAAACATTCCTATCTCTCTTGCTTGTTCACTCTCATTATGAAGTGAGGTTAAACCCGTTGGCTTATCAGCAAGCTAAGGTTAGTGTTAGCCTATTTTCTTTGCCTCACGTAAACCTAAGGTTAACCTAACGAGCAACTGAGACCCTGAAAGCCAGCTATACTGACCATAATTTGCCGCAAATACATAATGTAAGTGGATATATTCATTCTGTAACTACTTACTGTTTCACACTGTATATTACAGATTTTGAATAAGGTCTGATGTTTATTTAGTGAGCTTTTAGCCAAGATCTGGGCACGGGCTTCAGTGTTTCCCCATAGACCACTGTAGTCGTGTCCTCATTTTGTAATCGGCGCCACGCTCTTATGCCCATATTAGGAACTCCGGGTCTAAGCTCCATTTCTCTATGGCCAGAATGAATAGGGTTTTCGAAAAATTGCCTCTATCGCACCCTGTGTTAAATAAAAATGATCAGAACCCGATACGTTTTGTCCTATGAACATTCTTCTCTCGAATACCACTGGATCCTCTGAATTACGGGGTCGTTTAAGAGTTGAAATATGAATATCGCTACATGTAAGATACTGCGCAGAGTTCACGTCTTTAGATTGGCAGCCTCCTTAAGCAGGTTTTGGCAGCGTACATTTCCATTTCCATGTACAGACTGAGAGCAGATGAAAAGAAGTCAGAACAAAATCAGCAGGTTTTCCTGCAGTTCTCTGTTCATCTGATGTTCACTGAAACACGATAGATCTTTCCTTTTAGCTTGATTTGAAAAGAGCTACAAAAGTACCTGCGCTCAGGCTAATCCAGTACAGACTCAGTTTAATATCACTGCTCACCCCTGATAAACTGATTTAGGCTATCAGAATATCCTAATTATTATTTTAACGCTTTATGTTCGACTTTTCCCGTTTCACCTTAAATGGTGCAGCAGTCACGTTCTGAACTGAGGCGCCATTTAAGGTGAAACGGGAAAATTCGAACAAGCAGCCGGCGAAAAAGAAGCTGACTTCATGGAGGGTTGAAAGGCATGATATGGGGAGGTTTCACTATTTACGCTTAACAGCTGAGTAACATTAACTTATTTTTGCTGGTTCACCGAATTAACAGGTCAGTATTTTGTCTTGTTTGCTAACGTTTGTGATAGCTAGACACAGCTGCTGCACCATTTAAGGTGGAACGGGAACATTCAAACAAAAAGCTAAATTCAGCCTCGTAGTTTTAACACGGGTAGTATTTTTGATAAGGAGTTTTAGCCTATCAAAATATCCTACCCAAAGGTTTTATTTACGAGTATACCTGCAATTATGCGCTACGGTACCCTATTCCTTCTGACCATGGAGAAATGGAGCTTAGACCCGGACTTCCTAATATGGGCATGACGAGGACTACAGAATGACGCACGACTACAGTGGTCCATTACTGCAGTGCAAAGGCAGAGACCCTCCTCAGGTCTGATATGATTGGCTTACAACTTACAAAGTCTGTTATGATTGGCTTCGAACTTATGAGGTCTGATATGATTGGCCTACAACTCATGAGGTAAGATATGATTGGGAAGGGGTGGGGGCTAAGTAACATTTTGAGAGAGCTAAAGCCCCCCTGGCCTAGCGGCGCCAACGTTCAGGAATTCACCTTGCGCCTTTGGTCGTCTCGCGCAGAACTATAACATGTGGTGGTTCCGGTTACTCATAATGGCTGCCCTGCCTTTGCAGAGAAGTTTTATTTTTGTTTTCATAGACTTAAGTAATTCATAACATCTTCTAAACCATATCAGTGTGTGCATGAAACAAATTAATATCTGGATGCCTTTTGAGCAGGTTAAGAGACATTTATGGAGACGAGATTAATGACCACAGAGAATGTGTAGAGAATTGCCACTCAGGAATGTCTTCTGGGTTGTCAAACACTACAGGGAGCTCCCTACCGAGTCCAAAATGAACGGGTTAATATGGAGCATTTCAGCAAAAATGCTCCACATTAACCCATTCATAAAAAACAAATTAAATTATTTTACATTTTAAATTTAATGGTTACATATCATTATATTATAGATAAAATTAAATGTTTAAGCATCATAAATGCTTAAACATTTTACATAGAAAAATGCATTAATATCCTGAACACTGAACAGCGCAAAACATTTTAACATCGCTGTTATATTTTTGAGTACTTTTGAACTCATTACAGGACTTCACTCGCCAACCAATCAGCACTCAGTAGCAGTAATGCTAGTTGTTTTCTGTATAAAATAGTAAATATACATGTAAGTTTTTAAAAACATACTTTCCAATAATAAAAGAAGGTCCAGGACGAATAGAAACTATTTTAAATAGATCCCCTCACCCTGATTCATTTAGGACTCGTTTGCAGGCGCCTTCTGATGTTCTGCAATCATATTTTAGACATAATAGGAGAAATAGGAAATGGCCAGACACATAAACCGGCCCTGGTGACAGTCTAAGCCCAGTGTTTGCTAGCAGCATTAGCCTAGCATCTTCCTTTGTAAACGAAAGCACACAAGCTATCAAACATATCTTCGACCGCATCTGGGGTAAGTGATAAATCATGTTAATTTGATTTTTTGAAAAACTGTTTCTTTAACCCCAGTGTGCTGGGGTGATCTCTAGAAAATGTTATTCATATTTACCACTGAGGAAAAATGGCTTAGACCCAGATATCATATAAATGCTAATGGAAAACTACAAAATGACAAGATGTTCTATGCATACATTTATAGATATTTATAAGTGAACTCAGATGGTTACATAAGCCTTGACAGATTGTTGTGTCTGCCTGAGTAAATACACAAAGAAGAACAAAGTTTTATCTCAATGGTTTAATAGTTTTATTACTGAAGTAGAAAACACTTAACATACAGTTAGAGATAACTATACATTTCAAAATGAAAACCTATAAACTTACACAAAATGGTGATACTGTTCAGTAATTAATCACCAACTATCCTAGTCATGTTTGTTAAATACAAACTACTGTGTCTTTCATTCGGGGTAAACCGTGTCCTCAAAGTGCATCTATCACCTCCTGAGTGAGTGAAAAGAAGCATAAACAAAGTTACCTACAGTCAACATATTGCCCTGCAGTGCTACATGTCCAGTGCATTAAATTCAAGCTTCTTACACTAAAATTCCATCTTAGGTGTCAGCTAGCATAATGCTTTCTCTGCAATTTGGTCTTTCTCCATCCACAGTTTCCTTCATAATCCTCCAAAATAAATTAGTTAAAAAAAATAATAATAATAAAAATCACTGTCCAAGTCTCCTCAAACCAGATTTCAGGTTCATGTCTCAGGTTCAGTCAGAAATAAGCTCAGCTCAACACACCATCAGCAATGTTGGTTCCATATGAGTCATTAAAGTACTTCAGATGGCTAGGAGCATGGCCTTTGCTAAAGTAAAGCACTGCACATCAGTCAAAATGAGTGTTTGCTCAGCAGTGGCTTAAAGGGACACTCCGGCCAAATGAAAAGTGTAACAGTTGCTACATCTGTTTAACACCTTGACAGATCCTACAGTAGTCTCGAGAGGAACATTTTCCAGTTTAAAAACCAAGAATACCTTCTTCTGATGATGTATCCTGAAGGTGGGGGGCAGGGGGTGAACTGTTATTGAAATTTAGCTGTCAAATGCAGGGATGTTACAGCTAGGATGCTGAATATCTTCCAGTCAACATTACAGTGGACAGAACAGATTACTCAAATGCAGAAATAACTTGTCGGATGAGGAGGTGGACACTGAAGTTAGCAAGGTATCTGGCTATCTAGATATCTTACCTCAGTTTGGTTCCTTTTCTCTGGATGAAATAGTAAAAACTTGTCTTTGGTGTCCATTCTGTGCTGATTCTAGATAGAATCACTGAGATTTTGTTTGAGGACTGACGTAATGCTAGCTTAGTTGTATTTGTTAGATCAGCTTTGATCAGCTAGGCCAGCAATCAGGACTGGTTGACACCACAGGGATTGCCAATGTATAATGTATTTGTGTAATGCATGCTGGGTATTGTAGTGAGATAACATGGATGGATGAAAACATGAACATCTTGTCAAACCTATGAGGCTGAGGGATACAATGCTGTGCTACAGAATAACCCAAGAAATAACGTATTCAACTCTGGATAAAGGCCGGAATGCCCCTTTAAGTAATAAAGCACAACAAGCATGAGCTGAAAGAAAACAAAGTGCTGGTGAATGTGCTAGAAGTATCTTCCTGTATTCCACACACACACTAAACTCAGTGACAAACTCATCAGTGCTGGGGTGTTAAATGTAGTCTTATGAAGGATTGAGGTAAGATGAGAATAAGGCAAAATTGTGCGTTTTCACACAAACAAAAAAAAACCAAAATGTGCAAGTAAGCGTAAGTAATGCCTGTGTCGTCAGCCGTGTAGTTAGTTAGAACTGTTTTTTTAATAACAGCAGGAACAACAAACCATCCTAATATTTGCATGAAAATACAAAAAAAACGTTCTCTGACATTATGTTCAAATATTAGGTTTGTGAATAAAAATGATCTGAGCCTTAAAAAGGCAGGTATTTCATATATGGCAAACAATAGAATGTTTAACTTTTTAACTGGAAAATCTAGAAGTTTTGAACACGCGCACGCACACGCTCAAACACCTTTAGAGTCATTGGCGCTGTACATGTCCACACAGTAGGATAATTCTGTATTATCACGATATGTTAACTATTTTGTGAGCACTAACGGACGGAAACAACCGTACAAATAAACTAACCATCAAAACGGATTCTGAGCAAATGTTATTTGAGCTTTACAGTGCAGTCTTGTGTGTGATAATTTAGTAGAGTTAACATTAGTGTGCTACTTCACGTAGCATTGGAGTGCAAGCCAAAGCACCACAGTGCTAACTGAATTTGGCGTTTAGGTGCTAGCTGTCTAAATAATACCGCACTTATTCAGCCCTAGCTCTGAGCCTTAAGGGAGCTCAGTATAGCTCAAAAGGAGATGTAGCATCAGGGCACTGCACTCTCATCATCGCCGACAGGGGTAATTCGTTGTTTAAGGGTACTGCAGTATTTTGTTCTTGAGCTTGAACAGGCCTCCAGTGCAGTTTTATAGGCGGAGATTCTGTGCCCTTGCGAGGCTGTGCGGGAGACCCCAGAGGGGAGCTCGTCTGAGGAGTGAGGGCCGAACAGCAGCAGAGCACACATGAAAGAACTCAGGCTTTCTTTCACTCTGTCCCTCTTTTCAGCAGCAAAGGAGAATCAAAGAAGGGCCTGAAAGAGACAGGAAACCTCAGAAAACAATCTGTCAAAGCATCTAATCCTGCTACAACAGATGTTTGTGCTGAAGAAGAGCAAGACCAATAATAAATAAGCCTTCATTCAGAAACAGCTCAGTAAGCTTTACATTATATTCTTTAAGATTTTCTTTTGAAGCTGCAGATTTTGAACCATTTCTATTGGTTTTTCCTACAGCATAAGTCAGTCATATTTTAATACAGCATAACTGGCTGTCTTGTTCCAAGGCAGAGATGCCTTTTGGATGATATTTACAACAGATTGGCTGTTTCGTTTTAAGTAAATAACTGAAAGGACTATTTGGCTTTAGTTTATACTTTCCAGCTGGTACAGATTTGTGTGGGTTTTAGAGAGTAACTTAGAGTAATGGGATTACTTTTTTCCAGGAAGTAATAAGTAAAGTAATCCTATTGCAGTTACAACCCCAGTAGATTCATAGCATAGATTTTTTTTTATTTTATAAAATTACACTATATGTTTAATTGCAAAATTAACATTTTAAAAGAATAACTGAATTTTATTTTGAAGAAGCTCAAATGTTCAGTGTTGGCATTTCACTAAACAGTGTGTTCTGTTTATATTTTTTTTATGTAAGAATTGCATTCCTGTAAATGTTAACACTACAAACTTCGACCACTGAAAAAAATATATGTTCTCTCATTGGCTGAAGAAGTGGGGCGTTAGGCAGCTTTCTGTTGGGCCACATCAATTGTCCCTGTGGGCCAACTTTGGGCAGCTATTCTACATAAGCCTTGGTACAAGTTGCAACAATTACTTAGCTAGCTAATGTTAAAACAGTTGAAGATAGTAAACTTTCAGTTTAACCTGTCAATTAAATGTTTACTCCTAAAAACTTCAAGTATAACAAAAAAAACTTTTTCAGATGCATATAAAATAAATAATTGAAGGTAAAAACTCTAAATATATGTATTTTGACAAAACTGAGTTGCATCCTACCACTTCTCGACTGGCTAGATTTTGATTTTGACATTGATCAAATGCTGTGCAAAGCTTGTCCAACCTTGCAATCATAGCTACAAAAAATCATGTTTGTGGGCAGAGCATGGACAGATCAAAAGTAGGGTGCTTCGATTGATTGCAAGTGAGAATGCGTTTCTCTGTGTGCATGTGTGTACATTACCGGCCCAGGTGTTGAGGGAAGGTACTCTGTACTGGTGTGGGCTGGCTGCTGCTGGGGCTCATCAGCATGGCGCTGTAGATGTTAGATGCTACCACTAGAATGCAGAGCAGGATCGGGCCTATGATGGCCCCCTCCAAGCCAAGATAGTACGCTCCACCAGCCACAGCCAGGCCAGTCAGATAAGGGTGACCACCCCTGCACAGCCAAACAAATATATATTTACAAAAGTCATACTGGACTGTGCATGTAGGCTACATCCAACAGTCAGAGCTTAAACAGCACAACACAATTCATCATTTAGCCACAACTCTGTCATTAGAGCAGATGGATCGATCAAAGACAAAAACAAAAACAAACACCCACACAAACAGCTTGATTGTCTGAATATCTGTCCCTGCAGGGTAGGAGCGTCCTTGTGCTGTTTCTTCAAGCACAGAATGCATTACCTGCTCTCTCCTTAATTAATCTCATTAAACATTCTCACATTAGCCGGGACACAGACAGCCAATCAGTCAGAAAAGGACACAACATTCATTCTCATATGAAACGGCCAACATTAATAATGCTGTCTTGAGAAAACCTTGCATTTCCAGAAACAGTAAAGAAAAGAAAAAAAGTTCTTAACTTTAAGTAAAAATTTTGGTTAAGCTTAGAGATAATGGAAGCTTACAATCGTATGCAAAACTTTGGGTGCCCCTGGTCAAATTGCATTTGTTTTGAAGAATTACACATCCTCTACAGAGAATACACTTTAGAACATTTTAACACATAATTACTGTTTATTTGATGAACTTGTTTTCTTTACTTCAATTAGAGGGTGATGCAAATTTGTGGTTGCTTGAAGTTATTTGTTTATTTCTAACAATGGTTCCTGGTATTTCATTTTATTTTAACCATGATTAAGGCCTCTGTGCCAAAATACATTGGTTTGAAATAAAGTTTGGAGTTCTCTAGTTAACAAGTTACTTTTTCTATTGGCTTTCGTTGTATGAGGATCTTGCTTGGTTCTAATAAAAACATACAGCCACACCGGCCCTTTGTGGATAAGACTGATGACCCCTTCTACACAAGTGCAGTGAAAATGAATAAAATGCAGATATTATAGCGCAGTAACCCAGAGTTGCCTAAATATTCTGCTCTTCTAGAGTACCCATAGGGTGTTAAAAATTAATAAACAAGTATTTTAGATGAGAAACTAACAAAGCCAACAGCAAACTGCAAAGCTACAGTTTCCCTCAAAACAAGATGTAACATAGTAGTACGAGAGCTAGATGTTAGCGTCCTCATGGAGGACGTGAAATATCCAGCCACTGTCAAGGAAACTGTTTTTCTTACAGCAGTGACGACAGATGAAACCCACTCCTTCCCTCGCTCATACCCTGATATATCAGTGTAGATAGCAGTGTCGACAAAGTATGTTGGCAGTAGGTGGCAGAAGAGCAGCAATACAGCTTTGACCCCCTCGCCCTGCGCAAGCCACAGGTCCAGCACCGCCGGCAGCGCCGCCCAGTACGTCCCCAAGAACGGTACAGCGCCCAGAATTGCCGCCAATGCTGTACAAACACAGAGAGTTTGGGATTTCAGAGCATTTCAGTTTTATGTATATGCAAGCAAGTCAGGATTTATTCTGTTATATTATTATTACCTTTCTACTGTGCAGTGTTGCTTGCACAAATATGATCTGTAACATGTCTGAAGTATGCAAAACAACAACTAGAAATGGCTACTAAGGAAATTTTGGAAAATGGAAAATGGAACTCTTTGGCCACAACAAAAGTAGGTTGGGTAAATGAAAAGGAACAGCATTCGATGAAAAGAACACCATGCCAACTGTTAAGCAAGGAGGTGGATATATCAGCAAATTCTAGAAGCAAATGTGACACAGTCAGTCAAGAAACTGATGCTGAAAAGAAGCTGGATTCTAGAACATATCAATTAGAAAAAATTGGTGATTTTTATCGTGGACATTTTATTTACTTCAAGTAATGCTTATAATATGCATGGTCAGTCCGACAGACTGCAATACAAGAAGTATTTGGGGCTTATGGCATCCGTTGTTTTGTTGCACCAAACAATAAGAAATCGCTTGTCTCACAGATGGACAAGATCTGTGAAGTCATGGATAATTTTGCAGTTGGTGGCATACCCATATAAAGAGCTCTAAGCAGGTTTAAGCTGGTTATCTTTATGGGAAAAAGTAATGGTCTTGTGAAAATCGCCGCTATTGTGCCCTGTGATAAACAAAAATGCTTGCATAAATACCTACACTTTTCCACCATATGCCACTAGATCAGGGGTGTCCTATCCTGGTCCTGGAGATCTACCACCCTACACAGTTCAGATCCAACACCTGGCTGTTCAGGTGTCCTTGAAGAGCTTCATTACCTTATTAAGGTGCATTAGATTAGGGTTGCAGCTGAACTCTGCAGGGTGCTAGATCTCCAGGACCAGGACTGGGCACCACTGCCCTAGAGCCTTGGAATTCTGAGGTCTTTAAAGAGTCAAAATACAAAAGTTGCTACAAACATGCTACAAGCAAGCTAACACATCTGTGCATAGAGATGATGTTGAATGTAATTAAGTGTAATATTAAACTTCAGCACTCTTGTATAACAGCAGAAGTGTTTGGCGGTTTTTGGTTATGATCTTACATCAACCTGACTTTAATTGTGAGGGAAGGAAAACTGTCAATATTGAACTGGCTGAGCATTAAAAGTCTGCATGATATGTTCTGCAAATTTTAATGCATTTAATGTAAGTTCTTTTTGCTCACTTTAACATACAGGTAGAAAATAAAAAAAAAAAACTTAATAAAAATAAATAAAATATCAAATATTTTTATTTAGCAATGAAACAGTAAAATGTGGAGAAGTGGGTTTTTGTAGAGGAAGTGTTAACTTTTTTTCACTTAGAAAAGCAACAAATGTAATTTGATTTGGGTACCCAAACCTTTCTGTGATTACTGATTGCCATTTTTATTTAGTACTGTACTTGTATAATGAGCTGTATTGGCAATATCAAACCAAAAAACGTGTACGTAAATAAATATAACAAAAAGCCCTGAACTGAAATTTATGATAGATGAAGGGACTGTGTGTGTGTGTGTGTGTGTGTGTGTGTGAGAAACAGAGAGAGAAAAAAGAGATTTGCAGGGCTGAGGTGTGGGGGAGGAAAGACACAGAAAGAGAGATGAGAGAGCAAGATAGGGACAGGCAAGAGACTCACACACACATACACGAGTGAGAATGTGTGTGTGTGTGTGGGTGAGTTTGTGTGTGTGCGTGCTGGCAGATGGTTACCGTATGCCAGAATAAACCGAGGCTATGTGTCACTGATAAACAAACAAAAACATGCACATCTTTATGCATCTATAAATAGCCAGCTACTCCAAGTGTCTGTGTGTGTCTTACCTGAGGGGATGAAGACGATGTTGATGCCGAAGATGGTGTGTGTGAGCCAGGTGTAGAGGCCGTAAAAACCTGCCATCTTAAGAGATGCATCAAACACACCCCTGAGAGAGAAATGGAAAGAGATTATTTCAGCATCGTGCTCCGTCACTAAGGCGTACAATGAGAGTGGACATGCAAATAGATCCACTAGAATACCTGGGCCACTCCTGCTGACCTCTCTCACACACACTTCCTTAACCAAACACTGGAACAGAGTAAATCATGCTGAACTGCTCTCCCCATTTCCTTTCAGCAATGACAAAACTCCGTCACAGCTGCATCCTCCAACTCTTTCCTAATGGAAAAGTGTCTGTCTGTGTATGTGTGTGTGCGTAAGTTAGAATTTGGCAGGAAGAAGGGAAGTGGGAGTGCTGAGGGTGCTGCAACACCCCTTACTTTCAGGATTGTTTAATTACAACTGCTAAAAACTAAAAAAACTAATGGAACAACTTTGAAAGTCTCACACAGAAGAATGCTAACTTTTGTTACACCAGCTAACAAATGCTCACGTTGTCTAGCACTGCACAGTCAATGGGGCGAGTGAGCTCTGAAATCGTACATCATTATGTAGACGGCATCATGACTATATCAGGAACTCTGGGTCTAAGCATGTTTATGGGGAAAAGATGCTGTTTTTTAAAAATCACTGCTACAATGTCCTGTGGTAAACAAAAAAGTCCCAAATCAGATAGATACACATTTTCCCTCCCAGAGTGTCACTGGATCTTCTGAATTGCAAGGTTGTTTAGCTGTTGTAATATATAATGCTACATACATGCTAAACACAAGCTAACACTTCTGCACACTGAAATGACATCACATGAAGTCTACTATTAAAATGTATCACTATTGTATACCTACGCCAGCTACTCAAACTGTAGGCTACTGCAGCCTGAGCAGCTTAACAATGACACTGGGCAAAGCATGAGGTGTTTTGGAGAAGATACCAGTGTTACAATGTCAATTCAGAGCACACCAGTGTTAGCTTGCATGTGGCAATTCATATTTTAGCTCCTTAATGACAGAAAATCTGGTGACATTCTGAGAAAAAAATATCAGCCTAGACTCGGAGTTCCTAATATCCAAAATATTACAGGACCAGCAGTGCTTAACTGGTTTCTACCAATTAAGTCTCAACAACATTCCTTGCACCATCAGCCTCAGCACAGCGAGAGAGAGCAGAGTGAGCATTAGTGTTTGCTGTTTTGATGACTTGGGTAAAGAGGTGTTGTTGCCTCGCTCTGTATTACAACAATTGCATAATCAATATCAATTATCTACTATTCATGATTTTTCAACATGTTCTTTTTGTTATAAATTATACAATCAGTTAAACTGGGAATAGCATTTATTACTGTGTCATTCATAAATATGCTGCTTAAAATTGCTGCTTCAAACTGCTTCCAAGACCACAGCATTAATACTTTGTGCATTAGAAAAATGCATGAAAAAACTGAAGCTACTGTAACACTGTCTGGTCTTAAAGAGATCATAGTACTCTTCTGCCCTGTAGAGGTGACTTTAGTTACTGCACCTACAAGTACAGTAGAATTCCAAAACAGACAAAAATGTTTGTTTACAGCAAATGTTTCTACTCCAATGTTCACAAATAAACCAATTACAGCTTTTAAGGGTGGGTTCCAACAATTTTTTTAGAATTTATTTCTTTCAAAAAAAAAAGCCATTCATGGTAGAGAGGTACATGCAGGGTGTGGTAAGGCAAAATAGTACCCAAAGAAGATTTCCCACTATTTTGCTATTCTCTAAATTACATATAAAACTCACAAGATATGTGTAGGTTGGTAAGCTTCTCTACAATGCACCATTCCACTTTAAAAAAGGCCTGAATAAGCTTGTTTACACCTCTACAACTTAATTAAGCAGACATTTTGAAAAATGTGGAATTATCCTTTAAATCTGGGTGCTTATGTTGAAAAATGCTATTGTTAAAATTCAGTGGGCCAAGCACTTTGCGGCTATAACTGTGCCTTAGCTTGTGTGTGTGTGTGTTTGTGTTTGAGTGTATGCATATGAGAACCTGATGGCCTCCTCCACAGACTGGCCAATGATGTTGGATGAGGGTCCAGGCTGAGACAGCGGCGTGAGGCTAATCACCCATTTAACAGGCTTATAGTATTCCCCACTGGAGCTCAACAAGTAGAACAGGGTGGTCAAGAAAATCACCTATACACACATACACACATATATATTAATGTATATTCAATGTGAAAATCTGGATAAGAAGGGTTCCAAAACACATTATAGACCACTTTTAAGAAGTTTATTTTTTTTCATGATATACATTGTTTGGAGTGGGCTTACACAAACAAACATGATCAACGCTATATTATGATTAATAACACCTTTATTAAAGAAAGAAAAGTATTTATACATAAGTGTAGATGTGTGTATATATAGTTATTTAATATAGTCATGTAAATACCGCCGCTACATCCGTTCCAAAATGTCTTTATTAATTTACCTCTTAACTTTTAATGTATGACTTTATTTGACTTATTGATAAAGGCAAATGTATTTTTGTTTAAGAATCTAAAATGCCAATTTAGCACGATGCAGAGCGAATAATTATTAATAATGTGACTTCAGCTGATAGAAGGCACTGGAAATGTGCAGGTGTGTTTCATGTATTCATTTCATTCTAAACGAAGGCTTATAAAAATCACTTTGGCTGTGAATAATGAAAAACACGTTTCTGTAAATCAGAGGAACATTGTGAAAAAGTTAAACTAGATGCCAATAAATGTATAATATATATATGTGTGTGTGTGTGTGAATGTATGTGTTTGTTACCAGTGACAGAGCAAAGTTGAGCAGCGCTGTTCCGCTATGGAAGAGTACAGTGAGTAGTGTAGTTGTCGTGGAGATCAACAAACCCACGTTGCGGCTCATCACCACCCACAGAGACTCCACAATCTACACACACACACAGTGTCCTCATTATTTTGACACATTAACATGCATACACACATACCCACATGTGGCTGCATAAATAAATACACATAAATACATACACACCTTACTCTCTCACTCACCGAGAGCAGTGTTTCAATATTTTCCTGCACGAAGGAGGCGATGTCCTGCCAGTCCAGAATGTCACCCAGCCAGCTGTTGTGTCTATGCAGGTGGAGCTTCTGGCCACGGTGGCGTCCAGTGTATGTTACATTCTACAACACAGCAAAGCCAGAACTTTTGGGGGCTGAAGACACCAATAAATCCAGTCTTGAAAGTGAAATGTTTTGCAATTTTTTTGGTCTACAAGTCGTAAGCCGTGCAACCACACATGGCGTTGGATGTTGTTTTGTGCTCTATAATGCGCCACAGATTTGGGAGACGGGTCTGGACTGCATGCAGGCCAGTCTATTGTAACATGAGCATCTGTTCTAACATGAGCAGAATGTGGCATGCTGTTGAAATAAGCATGGACGTCTCTGAAAAAGATGTTGTGTAAAGTTGCCCATGCCATGGGCACAAATACAGCCCTATACCCTAGACAGATTCTGACATTTGAACACGCTGGTCCTTTTCTTCTATGGCCTGGAGAACACAAGGTTCATTATTCCCAAAAACAATCTGTAACGTAGACTCTTCTTATCACAACACCCACTTCCATTGTGCATCAGTCCATTTCAGATGAGCTCAAGCTCAAGTTGTTGGTGGCGTTTCTAGATGTAGTTGACATGGCTTCTACAGTGCAGACTGCAGTACAGTGTACGATGTGATGGACGGTGTTTATTGACAACGATCTGTCAAAATATTCTCGATTGTATGTAGCGATATCTATCACAGAAGTATGCTAGCGTTTAATGCAATGCCATCTTCTGTCACAGGCATTCAGTTTCGGGTTTCTGCCTTAAAAGATCACCGAAATCTGGGCTGAAAACGTTGCTATTTGAGCAGCCTTTCAGCTCAGTTTAAAACACTCTACTGCACTTCTATCCTGTAACAGCACTCTATTATCCTATGTTAATTTTTAATAAATTTTTTAATTTAACACTCATTTCTTCTCTTTTAAATCTATTGTTTACAATCATTTCGATCATGATTTCTATTTCTATTCAACAGCATGAATCCATGGAGCCAGGCTGTGTTGTGTCAACAGTCCAGGCTGGTGGAGGTGGTGTAATGGTGTGAGGAGTGTTTTATTGGCACACTTTGGGCCAATTAATACCAATTGATCATCGCTTGAATGCCACAGCCTATCTTGGTATTGCTGTTGACCATGTGCATCCCTTCATGGCCACAATTTACTCATTTTCTAGTGGCCCTACCCAATATTGTGTGTGTGTGTGTGTGTGTGTACTCATCATTGGTTAATATCTGACCACAGGACTGCTTTTCACCAGATATTATTTGAGTGATGGATCATTCTCAGCATGGCAGTAACACTGACATGGTAGTGTGTGTGGTGTTGGTGCAAGTGTGCAAAAATCCCAGCGACACATCAACTTCACTGCTAGTCTGGCAACAAAACTTGCCAGCCTACCCAAATAATATTTGGTCCGTGATAATCCTATGGTGTTTCTTGTCCTTTGAAGGATGGGATAGAGTAGGGGGTTAATTGTGCACCAGATGGGCTAGTCAGTAAACCTACAAAATGCACCTATGTAGTAGGTATACCTAATACAATGACCAATGAGTGTGGGTACAAGGTAAATGCACCTTACCTTGACAAACCAGGAGTGGTAAAGCCTGTCCCACAGTTCCAGAACCTGCTTCTCTATCACTGCAGTGTTGTTCACCTTATCACCAAGCATCTTGTGGAGCTACACACACAAACACACATTGCTCTGTTCATGTGCAGATTCAGAGATATACAGCTAACACTTAAATTACATAAATACTTTGCGTGTAATCAAACATCATCTACTTTCATCTCAACAACCTCTCATCGAACTACACACTTTCTTGATTTTTTGTTGAAAATAACTAAATAAAGAAAATAAAAAATAACACACCTCCTTAAACTTAAATAGGGCATTTTTATGGAAAGTATTTATGCACAAATTCTATTTTTTAAAATGTGGGGAAAAATAAAACAAAGTATAAAATGTGCCTTCACTTTTGCACACACTACTTCATGTTAAATTCAACAAATAACTCAGTGGGATAGGACCATCTGCTGACCTACAACCTGCCCAATCTGTCTTAAATCACTGATTCTGAACTACTACTCCTGAACCCATACTCTTGTACCTTTTGAGTTATCCATTCTCTCCCATGCTGGTAAACATTTGTGGCAGCAGAGTTGAGAGCCTTCTGAATTACACGAGCCTCTGGAAGCCAGCTGCAACACACACAGGAAAAGCGCTGGTAATACACATATTATAACACTGAAAAATTCTCATCTTTCATCAGAGATAAACAAATACTTTAGTAATTGCATTTTGTCACTATACCATGTACTTTATTCATGTATTATTGTATTTGTACACTTAAATAATAAGTGAAATGACAGCATATATATGCAAAAAGCACACAAGTGGTATGAGACAGTTTGGCCAGGCTTGGCTGTCGCTATACAAGCCTATGCCTGGTTGTTATGCTCAGAATGCAGCTTGCACTTGCATTGTGTTATAAATTCCGTTGTGACACATTTTAGAATGCAACAACATGCGAAAAAGTATCACCATAGCTCGACACATTTCATTCACATACTTCTGTGAAGTATGTTTCTTTATTGTTCACTTTATTGTTAACTTTGGCTCTAAAGTTTTGCTTCTTTTGCTTAAACATCCTTCTTATAAGACATAAATATTGCTGTTTTAATGTCCCTTGGCTAAAATATTCTCTGTTTTGATTGCTGAAAACATGGTTTACAAAACCATTTTTTGCTTTAAATTAGCATACATAATATTCATGTTCTCAAACATATATTTGTACTGAACATCTTGTAAAGCTAGTTTACTTTTGAATAATGAAATGTTTTCAAATGTACTCCTCCATTTGCTTTTTCCTTTGTGCTAATGTTTAGTCTGTTAAGCCGAAAGTTTGACACACATGGCAAAAGTAACTAAGGGAGGCAGGGCTTTTGCAAACGGTCAACTGAGTTATATTTTGACAGTATAGTTTCTCTGCACTGTTTCCAGCCCTGTCTTTTAAACATTCCATACATTTTCAGGACAAAAATGTCTTGACTTTGTAGGAAAACTACAGAAAAGAGAGGTAAATGTACCAACAAAATGATCCTTACTTTGTAAAGTGCTTTTTACAAAAGCTTCATTTTTTTAAACTAAAAATTTTTTGGGTACTGAGACTAAGGCAGTTATATATACTGATATATAACAACAAATGTGGTTTTGTGTGTTTGTGCGTGTGCATATTTCTTACTTGGCCCACTCAGGGTGGTTGGCCACAGTCTCGTTGATCAGGTTGCTGGTGACCTCTATGATATGGGCACTCTCATGATGGACCTGAAAAATTACCACCAACACACGCTGCATAAAGAACAGAATGGGCCACAGGAACACACAGCCCCCCATGACAGTCCACTAGTTTACTGACGTTTCAAAACAAAATTGCAAAAGCAGTTCAATATATTACCAATAGGCTCTATGAACCATTTACAACCGGTTTTCCTTTTATAGAAAAGAATTTTATATACAGCCATGTAAATCAGAAACTGCTTGAATATGAACACTGAAATTTCCACATTTCCACCAAGACAAATGGTCTTTTAGTGCTCATTGTTCTATATATAACCATAGGCTTTACTAAAGAGCTCTTAAAGGGCCATTTTCAAGGTGTATTTGTAGGTTTGGAATACACTGTACCATAGCAGTGAGCAGGAGGGCCATGAGCAGAGTCCCTGTAACCAGTAAGAAAATGATAAAGATGCTGATGAGTTTATCCAGAGATTTCTCCAACCACACAATCAGCTGGGGAGAGAGAGAAGGAGACAGAGAGAGAAAGAGATTAGCTTCCAGCATGGATGCCACATCATCACGAGGGTACAAACACACAGAGAAACCTGCTGTCCTCTTAGTCGGCCCTGAGGAACAAATAAGCTAGCTGTCTTGGGTCCTGGATCTACAACAACCCTCCAAAAACAATAAAGTACTTTGTAAACCCCAAACTTTCAGTTGGAGATAAGCTTCCCTTACTCATGGTATTTTCCTGCACTTTAGCAATTCCTTTGCCAGCAAATTCCATTTTTACACTTGCCCCAAAAGTAGTGTAGGGTATTACTTCTTGCTGGAAAACCTCAAATGGGAGGGGCATAACTCCAAATGGGTGGGCCATAGCTCCAAATGGGAAGGCATAAATCAGATGGTTTTGCTATTGGTTGTTGAGATGTTCTGCGATGCTGGGTCCCATGTTCCTGCTGGCTGGTTGGAGAACAGAATTATGTTGCTGACAATTTTTTTTTGTTTTTTGATCTTGGATGCATTAAATACATGGACAGATCGCAATGTCCATTTTATTTTTTAAATAGCCTAAATAACAGATTAGTTAATTGGGCTGGATCCAGATCTGATTGATAGTGTAGTCTAATGTAATTTTTTCCTCTTAAGATTTCTTGTAAACTTCCTAAACGTCAAGTGAATACTGATTTGAGTGAATATTCAATTTACATCCTTATTCTACCAGCTGCCAGGTCTGCACAGATTCGTTTTTTTCATAAATATGAAAAAGTTAATTATTTATAGATCGTGGTCTGAGCTCCGTGAATGCAATGCCAATCAGTGTCAGTGATGCCAATATTTGCTTCTATTCTCATGCATTAATCAAAAACAAGTAACTGTTTGCATATTATTTAATTAATCATTTAGCCTCAATCAACAAAGGGCTCAAGAGAACAATTTTGGCTTCATTGTGCCACCTTACCTCTTACCACACATGCTTTCATTTTCTTGGTTGCAAGGTCACATTAAAAATAGAAAAGACTGAATAGAACCTGTTTTTACATCAAAAAAATACTGCAATTACAAGCATGAAGACATTTTATATTTGTTGTATATGAAATTATTTGTATTAAAAGGCCAACGTTTCATAGCAAGTCAAGCACAAAACGCTGTAAAGCTTACAAGACCTGCTAAAGTATGTTAAGCCTGTCTGCATACAATTCTCTTTTTACCAGTAACAAAGCACTGAACAGAATGGCAACCCCTCTGGAGTTAAGACAGACCCAATAATAGTTAAGTCCTTCCTATCTGAAGTTGGTCCAGCCTGCAGGGATACATACTTGCAAACACAGACGATCATTCAAGACATTTTTGGTGTCCCAAGTTTCCTTCTTGGAAAATGAACAAAATATACCCCATTGCTAAAAACATTATAAGCAGTCACCATAAAATCTGACTTTGGTCAATTTCTAATAACAGTATGTTGTACAAACCATATAAGTATATTTGAAATTACCTGAAAACATTACTCAGTTTGAGGAGAGTGTATGTGTTTTAGACATGCAGTTTGCACAGTCTTATTAGAAGTGTATAAGCATTACCTGTTAGCTACATTATCCGCTTAACTCCAGCGAAAAAAATGAAGAAGCAAACCTTGGACACCAAATGTGTTAAGCCTTTTTGGCCTTTATTGATCTACTGTAGAATACATCAGTTGGCATGAGTCTGCTAACCCTGTGGGTTTGTAATGCCTGTGTGTTGTAGCTTATTCGGCATCAGGACCAGGTTTCTCTGTGCACCCCGCAGCTCCAGGCCCGACGGACCAGTCTAATCCTGTTCCTGTGTTCCATTTGGCCACACGACTAGTTAGCACACAGTTAGCATCATGTGCTAAGGTGGTGTGGTCGAAGCTGGATTAGTAGACGTTAGTGTTTCATAGTGTGTTTCTGCTGATGAAACACATGCTAGAGCTCTGTCGCTTCCTGCTGAAGCACAAGAGTTTGTAAATATGCTTGCAAATAATGATGATTATGAGAAGCCATGGACATGCACTAAAAAGCTCAACATGACCTTGAGCACCATCTGTTCCCCTGACTGTGTTTCTATATCTGACACAACACTCTGGGGAATGTCATGCGTGACAGAAAGGCCATTCTTGTGACATTTATAAACAGATGATGTTTAGTTTAGGCAAGAACCTGTACATTTTAATCATTTTTTGGAACTGTGGACAAATATATGATCAAAGTGGTACCATCCTTTGGTGCTGAAATAAATAGCAATAAATAAATAAATAAATAAATAAATATAAATACTGGTGGGTTGCTTTGACCCTTATAAGTTATTTCTGGCATAAAGCAAGGTGTAATTTTACATTATTCTTTTCTCAATGAAGGAAGCAGGAAAATACATTAGTGTTTGTTTATTATGATCTGAATGAATAAATATTGTGTACAGTCCTGTTTTCTTTACATTCTTTACATTACATGTAATTATATTTAAATAATCATGTTATAGAAATTGAATATATAGCAACTCCAGACTTAAGGTTAAACCATTTCTTCTATGTACTAGGGCCTGGCTGACATGATTTATTTATTTTTTTTTTGTGGCCAATACTGATTATAGGGACAAAAATGACCAATACTATCATCTAATATCACACATAGTTAAATTATAGATTTAATATTACTCTCAAATAGTATTAGTTTAACAGTGCCTTACTGAGTGGTAGGATTGCCAGTTCTCAAAAAACAAAAACAACAGAAACTCTTTCATTTTTCAACTTTTCAACTTTTTCATTAGTCCTTGTCTTAAAAATGACATTATGACATGGTGTTCTTGATGATAAAGGTTAAGTTTCGATACATTGTATATGTTTGTTATTGTAACCAACATGTTTTGTGTTCAAAGTTAACAGGTTCAGCCTCCATTGCTGTCATATAATTCAACAGGGAGTGTCTCATATTGGGCTCTCCAGCAGCACAACTGGGAGGCTGCAAGTTCAAATCCCAGCAAAGCCACGACCAAAACAATCAGTAAATTTTTTAGTGTTATTTTTGCCGATATCAACCATGATATAGTGGCTTGTCAGTATAATGGCTGAGCGATGTATCTGCCAGGCTCTAACCATAGTGACAAATTTTAAAGGAACTTTGTCCCTGAGGTTGACTCTCACTGACTATAAAGATACTCTGGCATTAGCTAATAAAAATAGCTTGATGTTACTATCAGTATTACATGCATGTCTTTAGATACTGTTGGAATCATTTAATCTTGGTTACTGAGTTCTTCAAACAGTTGTATTACCTGCATCAGCACAGACCAGATCTATTCTTCAAAATCATATGACAGAACCAAGCTTCTCTTTTTTGAGTATCCCATCCAGAATTTTAGCAACTAACTCCCATAATCCCAGCTGTCACCCCTCCTCCCCTCACAATGACACACTCAAAACCTTAGAGACCCCTTCACCCCTCCCATCTCTGTCTACTTTGCTCTCCATGCATCATCTCACACACTCTGAAGCCAACCAGCCCCACGCATATCTACAGCTGTGGAAGAGTCCGGACCCTCACAGGTTTGCTTTGCGGTAGTTTTAATGCCCAATGGTTGCGCACTAACCTGACAGAGGAGGCATTCGCTCCCTTCCACAGCGCAAAAAGCACTACACACAAAAACAGAAGGGGCAGCCGTAAGCCTGCGAGCTCAGCTGAGAACAGAAAGATGGAAGGATGACAGTGGATGGCAGAAAAATAAAAATAAAACATCAGGTCAAGCTTCTATTAAGTGCGCACACTAACACGCTCACATTCGCTTCCTTTCTGTTAGCTTTCTTTCCTTGTCTCTCTCCCACACTTGCTAGCGCAGATCATTTACCTGCTTGTTAAGCCAATGCCAGAGCTTTGAGGAGGGAGACAGAGAGACAAACTGTTATTAGAAACAACCAATCAGAGTGCAGGAAAGCAGAAAATATCAACATGGATTCCAGGCAACAAGAAAACAGGACAGGATTGGACAGGGGAAATCATGAAAACAGTTTTCGTTGGACAACAAGGTAGGGTCAAGGTGTGATTGGATGGGGTCAGTGAAGTGCTCTTAGACTGTGCTGAAAGTACAAACCTCAGTTCCGAAAAAGTTAGGACTGTATGTGAAGCGCAAATCAAAACAGACAGAACTGATTTATAAATCTACTTTGACCTGTATTTGAATGAAAAACAGTACAAAGACAAGATATATAATGTTCTATCAACTTTATTGTTTTTTTTGTAAACATATGCTTATTCTGAAATTGATGTCTGCAACATGTTCCAAAAAAGTTGGAACAGGTGCAATTTATGACTAGGAACATTGTGAAATGTTCAGAAAACATCTTAAAATAGGTGATATATTCATGCTTGGATATAAAAGGAGCATCCAGGAAATGCCCAGTCCTTTATGAGCAAGGATGGGTCACGGCTTGCCACTTTACCAAAAATGCATCAGCAAAAATCAGACAGCGTAAAAAGGTGCACAATAACATCAAAGGTACAGAGAATCTGCAAAAATCTATGTGTGTAAAGGACAAGGCTGAAAAGTGCAATTAAATGCTTATGACCTTCAGTTCCTCAGACAGCACTGCATTAAAATCTAGCATGCTTCTGTAATGGATATTAACGCCCAACCGATAAATAGTCATGCCAGTATTAATGGCTGATATGAGCTAATTGCAGATAAATCAGTATCAGTGTTTACAGGGACCGATAAATGACAAATAAAAAAGAAACTTGGGAAGTGAAATCAGGACAGGGATGTGAAACTAGGCACCACACCAATGTTATAACAGTTTGTCCTATTCATCGAGTGGTCCTATGTATCATTACTATAGTGTAGTAACTTAATGTAACTTTTTATTGTGTTTTTAATTTTTATTCAGTACAGACTCAGCTTATTATTACTTACTTCCCGATAAGGAGATTTAGGCTATCAAATTATCCTACCTATAGATTTCAGTGCTGGTAGCATTTTCTGATCGGGTAACTTAGGCCATCAAAATTTCCTACCTACAGTTTTATATAGCGCACTACCTAAAAATATATGGTATGGTAGTACATTTCGATAAGGTAGCACAATTCGTCGGAACACCGGTAGTGTCAGGCAAACATCACAATTTGCCTATGTTTAACATTACGGGAGTTGAGTGGTGTAGGCCAAGATGTTCACAAACTTGCCTGTCCCAAATTTTTTGCAATTGAGTTTGAAGGTGAAACTTTCTCTAATTTACCTCCTTGCATTACCGTTTGTTTTAAGGAAAAAGAAACCAAAAAGGTATGGAGCAAAAACGTATTCTTTCGATTACCTACCTATAAAAATAATGTGCATGTACAGTACTGTGCAAGTCAGAGACCACCCTTCGTTTATTTACTTTCCAGTCAAAACTGCTATTAACTTATTCATTTTTCACCATTAGGAAAAATGGAAACGCATATTTAACATTAAATTACCTTTAATGTTGCGCCTAAATATTAAATATAATTTTCAGTATTTAATGTATCCACCCTTTCCCTTTGTTACAGCTTCCATTCTTTTCATGAGACTGTCACTTTTTAAAGAAATCTGCAGGGATATTTTTCCACACCTCCAAAGTTCAGTCTTAGATGGTGGTTGTTTTTGCTGCTTCTTAAGTAAATACATTCAATGATGGATCAGGAGATTCTACAGCACGAAATGTGCTCACTGCCACTTACCTTTATTCTAACAGTCAAACTAGAAGCAAACATTTGGCACCACAGAGCCCAACGTTTCTTCGAATTATCTTCACATTTTAACTGGAAATTAGATCTAACTAAAGGGTGGTCTTTGACTTCTGCACAGTACTGTAGGAATATACATGTTCATGGTGAAGGTCATGTCTGCCTTTGAAAGGTTACAATGTCCGTTCAGGACAAGGTAACTTAATGGTACAGGGTACACAGGGTTACATACTGGGCTACATAAATACAAGAAGATTGACTGTAACTGCTCTTTTTAACTCAATTTAAACAATACAAATCTTTGAATAAGTCCTCATATAGAGAAGATTTAAAAAGGGATTGCTGCCCTTTTTTTGACAATCATTTCCTCTTTTTGTAAGTCACAAAAAGTAGAAACAGAGCTCACAGCACGCACTGTAAGATCTTTTTAAAACATCAGGATCAGGAGATTCTACAGCACGTAATGTACTCACTGCCACTTACCTTTATTCTAACAGTCAAACTAGAAGCAAACATTTGGCATACAGACAAAAACAGACAAAACTGCAGTCATGCAACCGTAATCATGTCTGCAATCATGTCTGGATTTCGGCGACTACAGAATTAAACAGAACTAAATCCTCTTATCTGAACATCTTAAAATCCACCATACAAAGAGAAAATCTGTGCAATTAATTGATTGCATATGCCATCATGGTTCAATAAATTCCTCTAATCCTTGGATCGCCTTTTAGTCATTTATGGCTGGCTCGTGCTTTAGCTTTTACTTTCAAGGTTCAAGAGAACAAGCGGCAAAACTGATAAAATGCTGGGCTTGATAACCATCACCCCCGGAAACTTTGTGGTGAGAATTTGCATAGAGCAGCAAAGTTTCTTCAGCACATTCTGATGATAGTGCTCTGTGGGTGGATTGAGTAGAGACATTACCTTGGTATCGACCCTCAGCAGAAACTGTGCAAGCCCTTTGATTGGACCAGGCAGCAGAGCGTCCTGTCTGTCTCGAACAAACTTCTCCAACACCGCCCACCACGCCGCCAGGGTCCGCTCTGCAAAATCTTTCACTCCAAAACGCACCACCAGCTTCTTGATCACCCACACTTTAAAAACAAACCACATACATGTACACTGTTAAGACTTACTGAAAGTGACCACTACTTGCAAATTCACATTTACAGCCCAAATGATACAGCCAAGTAAATGAAAGTGGTGCAATGAAAACAAAGCCAAAATTTACTGGTATTTTATTATTTGTCTTTTTTGTACTATTGCATAGATTATATTAATTTATAGAGTTCTATAAATAACTAGAGTTTTTGTATGTTAATAACATATTATTGTAATAAATTATTAATTATTATTAACAATTTTTTTTACGCTGTTAACACATTTTTCTATTTTGATGCTTCTCATCTTCTGTAGTACTGAAGACTGAAGCCCAGCTGCCCGTGTGCTGTGGGTTGCTGTAATGCAGCCCTCTCATTTAAATACAGCTTTTAAAGCAATACCTTTAGCACCTCAGACAGACCAAGCTGGGCAGTGCTTACTGCAGTAAACTAACAAAAGCAAACAGTAAAGCTCCAGTTCCCCTTGGGAGTTTCCATTCTAGCAAGAGTCTATGAGCTGTAAGGACGAGAACGAGAGTGAGAGGCTCCAATCATGGAGCAGTTGGAGCCAATGACTGTATACATGATATGTATGAAATCTACATTCATTGGTTTGAACATGCAGCCACTGGTACTCTCACTAGATGATGTAAATTGATGATAAGGTTTGGAAACTAACTTCACTGTATGGAAATCATGTGATTTACATGTTCAGGTTCATGTGAATTCAGCATTCAAACAAGGAAAACAATAATAATAAATACATTCTGATAAAATAAGAAAAATGCATTACTTTTAGAACAGAAATCTTTACAGGCAGATTTAAGCAAACAAGGCAAATGCAATTAATTATGATTAACTACACACATTTTGTAATTATGATTATTTTCTTACTTCCACATTTTATTGTAGTTGTTTGACACGCTATTTGATTGTGTCAGTTGTGGCCAACGCAAGCCATCAGAAAATGTAAATAGCATTTTTTAAAACTACAATTTGTAATTTGCACCACAACTGGGCCTAATTTATCATAAAAATAAGGAAACAGTATAACATTTCAGTCATTTTGTTTAACATTTACTCTGTCATTGTCATATAACATATATCATCTTCCATATCCATTTTTTATCCGACTTTTTGCACAGGCCAATTTAATATTTTTACATTTAACACTTTTTCCAACATGTTACAGTAACTGTGCATTAAAACATGCAAAAGCATGTCCTTCGTATAAAATGCACTTATTTTCATTTCAAAATGAACGTCATGGCACCCAAACTTTTGCTTATGCCTGTGTTTGTGTACACACACACACGACATTTTTGTGAAAATTTTCCATGGTTGAAATTCTGCCATGTCCCTACATAAAATCCAAACAATTTTCTGCACCAAAACACACAGAACACACATTACCCGCAAAAGGGATGGGCAACAGCTGGAGGATCCAGAGGTTGAGCCAGACCTGCACCAGCACTATAGCCCAAACCAGCAGCACAAAGTAGATATCACTGGCCTTCTCTTTGTGTGGGAATCCCTGGAACTCTTGGCGCACGCGCAGAGGGGTAGCAGAAACTCCAATGACCCTTCTGGAAGAGTCCACTGGCTCTGTGCAGAGGGACGTATCAACAAACTTAGTACCATGACTCCATACACTGTCACAATGGTTTGTTTATGCAGGCTGGGGATTTCCAGACATGTTTTATTTGTGCACATGGTAGATTGTTTGTGTGTGTGTGTGTGTGTGTGTGTGTGTATGTGCTTCTCCTTTACCTTTAGATGGTGTTTTCCTACCACTCTCTTCTTCTGACTCAGCAGCAGTGGTGTAGTTGCTGCAGGAGATGGCCATGTAGATAGTATTAGCAGCAAAAGAAAGGACTTGTCCTGATAGTTCACCTACAAATGGACAGAGAGAATACAGAAGAGAAAAGAAGCACATTTAGAGGGGGTGGTCATCAGATACCAATAGCAGGACATGAACTGAACTAACTATTGGGTAGGGCTGGCAATACGTCCAAAAAATCTTTTATTATATTATATTATATAAAATCAATAATTATTGACAATTATGACATTTATTTCCTAACGATTGGCTTTAAGTCTGAGCAGTATTTTGAACCCTGAGAAACAAAATATTTATTATAATATGCAATATTTTATAAAGCTATACTGTTCTATGATTATACTGTTCTAATTCTGGTATTTCTGGCAGAGGCTTGAACTTTGAGCAGTATAATCATTTTGAAAGCAAATTGTTGAGTTTCGCCATCATAACTGTAATCTTTTTTTATCACCTAGGCCTATCGTAGGGGGATGCAGATTCTTCTCACCTTTCCCTGATACAGAGGCTTTCTCCTGAGAACCCACTATTAGCAGAGACACCACCACTACAAACACAGGCACTCGCCAGGCCCCCGTCAGAGACACTGCACAGAACAGGGGGAAAGCACAGCACTAATACATTAAACACAAAGCCACTTGTTACCATATTTGTATATACAAAACTCTGTTAGTGTACATGTAGTACTGTACACAACACTGATTTTTAAATCTACCACTCCTGTAAACTATCAGCCATTTTAGTTGTGTTCTGAGAGCAAGAGTGGGTGTCTGGATTTAGGAGGAAGAGGTTTATGGGTAGAATAAGTTGGCATCTGTGTGTATGAGACAGCTGGTTGGGGAGTGGGCAGATACGCTAGCCATGAGAGAGCAGCTGTGTTAAATTATCAGCTGTGGTGATGAACTAGGGTCTGTTGGTGGGACAAAGGTCAGCACTAAGACATTTTTGGCCAAAGTCTGTGCTGACACAAGATCCGCTGTTTCAAAAGCTCAGATCTCAAAACACCAGCAAAAGACCCTTAGGAACAGTAACTAAATATACTAAAGGCCAGTCAGAACTAATTATGGCTGCAACATGAGTAGTCTGGATAGGATAAAGTGACTTTTAACAACAGCTACAATTCTAATGCCCAATACAAGGCTTTAACCTGTCCATAGTTAGAATAAATAAACTGGAACAGTAGACATTTTGTTTTACAGCTCTAAAAGAAAATCTTAAAATCCCACATTCTAAAATTTTCTTGTATTTCATTTTTACACACCGAGTTCTGCTTATAACACTTGGGTGGCTTTATGTACCATAAACAGTTATGACTCATTTTCACATGACCATTTTCCAAACTCTCTTTATCCCTTAGAATCAAACAGGCAGCTTTTGTCACTGTGCTTTTAAGACTGATGGATGTAAATTATCTCTGTTCCGATTGGCTGCTCTATATGGTGCTATATTCAAAAAGCATTCTGGGCCGAAACACTTCAGCATGAATGGCCAGAGCTAAAGCTGATGACATCCCAAAAACAATGAATTCAAAGTGGGCTGTTTTTGCAGCTTAGTTTTTCATTCAAAAAATATCTTGCATTAATCCTAAATCTAGGCTTTTAACGTTACAAAGTCAAGACCATTTTGTTGGTCCAGAAACTGTTGGTTTCCACGGTTTTCTCTGGTTTTCCTACAAAGTCAAGACAAATGTAGGAATGTGGAAAGGCAATAATTAGTGAAGGGAAAACAGAGCTCTTAAAACCACAATAACGTTATAAGGTTAATCCATACTGTGTCCATAAGAGATCTGGGTCTTCCAAGCAAAAGACAAGCAAACAATTTCAGCTCAACAAAATAAGCACAAGAACAACAATTTTAACCAAAACATTCTGCACAGATTTTGAAATCTGAATCCATGACGCAGCATCTGAACACACTGCTGGAGTTAAGCCTAATGCTAAAGTGTATCTGTAGTTATCAAGACCACTGTTCATTTTCATACCGAAGTGCAACTGTGAATGTCTTACCCAGGTAGAATATGAGGACTGTCCAAACAGGCACTGACATGGCACGCAGGTAGCCCTCCATGCCGGGGGTCCACTTAAACGCCACAGCCAACACATAGCCCACAACTAACGTGCCAACCTGGTGGAGAGAAAAGGTCAGTGACTGTGAATGCTTGTTAATGATCAGATATTGCAGAGATTGCAAAGCTAATCTAATATATAGTAATCATGAACTGAGTCACTGACCATGTGACATCAAAGAAATATAAATAAATAGTAATATTATAAATATCTTAGCAAAATAACCCCAATGTAATCATGTAGCCAGGACATGTTTAGCAACAAGTTTGCTCCTTTACTTTTTAGTGGAGCTACAAGGCTAACGTAGCTAAAAAGTAAAATGGACAAACATATGTTGTATCATCAAAAACAGCAGCAGCCATACTGAAACCAGTTTTTGTCTTCACTGTTGTCCATAACAGCATATCACAGTGTCCGAAATTACATAAGCAAGGCTGTCTGAGAATACTTGTTAGCTACATCAGCTTTGTAGCTCCAGTTCACCTGTGGTACATATGGCCACTGGAACAGAGGCGAGTCGGCACGATCATTTACTGAAATTTATTAAATGTCAGTTGCAGTTTTTCTTACCGCTACCTATCTAAGCTAGGACTTGATCATCTTTACAGATTTTAGCTAGCAAAATTAGCTATCTGTGCTCAAGGCCAGAGAATCATGCATGGTCAAAACAAACAACACTGACACAGTTCGTCAAAAGAACGGACATATTATTTTGACATTATAGATAAGAGACAGAGACTCAGTTGTTGTTGTCAGTCATAGAAAGAGAAAATGACTTGATTGTCCACTAGCATGCTTTAGCTAAGTCAAGGTAAGCCTTTTTTGAAGAGCCTAAATCATGGAAAACTAACTTTTCTTCACTTTTTTGGAATAAAAGATTTTAATATAGAATATAAAGACTGTTAAAGTTTCCCTCATTCATTCATTTCATTCCCTCCCCAGTCTACACTGTAAAATCAGCCAATTTTGAATTCATTGTTTTTGTGACATCACAACAAAAACAAATGACCTATTCAGCCTACAGCAGTTCAGCTCCACCCTTTCATGCTTAAGTTATAACAAGTGTTTCAGCCCAGACTGCTTTTTGAATGAGCCAATCAGAACCGAGACCATCTACATATGTCAGTCTTAAAGGTACAGTAACAAAAACTGCCTGCTTATTTTGAAGGGATAAAGTGAGGTTGGAAAATGGTCATGCCAAACTGAACTGACTGTTTTGCTACATAAACCCACACAACTGTCAAAAGTGGACTTCAGGGGGAAAATAAATGAAAGAAAAATGTTGTCAATTGTGCTAAAATTGTGTAAATGTGATTTTTTGCCTAATTTTTTTTTTCATATGCTTTCTGTCAACTAACATAATAGTTTCACAACAAAATAACACCCTATTCTTTAAGAGTGTGTGTATATAAGGGGTTCTTGACTCATGGAGGGTCAGGATCCAGCACAGTTTGGTGTGTTACCTTATTTAATGACTGACAGGTTTATTGGGGTGTTTGAGTAGGGGGATTGCCAAACTGTGCTGGAAACATGCCCTCCATGACCAGAGTTGAATGCCCCATGTAGTTGAATACCCCATTTATATTCCCCACGTAAATACAGTGCAAGACATTACCATGTTATGGTTTTCAGCAGGGGAAATGATAAGGCAGGGTGTCAGGTTTCTATGAGATCATTCTGCTCAACCCTCAGCTGCATGTTATCACATGTTCATCTGTTGGTTAAGATGCTGTTCAAATGAACTTTCGAGCTTCTGAAAAATGTGACCTAGAATTTATTTCTCTTTCTCTTCTCGCAGACGGTCAGCCTGTTTGTCTGCTGCCTGGCCTTGGCCCTCGTTGGACAGTTAGTCACTGACAAACCAGGGCAGCAGACAAACAGGCTAAACCGACCGTCTGCGAGCTGCCTTGAGACGCCACATAGGTTCCACCCAATTGAAACTGTGTCTGTTCCCTGAATAAAACAAAGCATCAAAAATCCTCGAAAAGTTTGCTCTAGTAACTTGAGTAATATCAGACCAATTAAACCAGTTTGCAGTGACCACACCTTTGGTCTAAAACTAGGACTGCTTAACATAAGATCTCTTACATCTAAAGCCGTCGTTGTAAATGAAATTATTACAGATCGGGATTTTGATGCTTCTGCCTCACAGAAACGTGGATTAGACCCAATGAATACTTTAGTCTAAATGAAGCTACCCCCACAGGCTACAGTTATGCGCGTATTCCTCGTTTGAGCGGCCAGGGTGGAGGTATAGCAACCATCCATACTAAAGCTTTAGGCGTGAGCCAGAAAGTAGGATACAAATTCTCTTCTTTTGAAGTTCTTTTTCTTAATATAAGTGATAGAGGAACAAATAAGAATTCCTTTTCATTGATTACAATCTATAAACCGCCAGGGCCGTATTCTCAGTTCTTACAGGAATTCTCAGACTTTAATAACGTTTTCAAATAAAGTAATAATTGTCTGAGACTTTAATATCCACTTTGACAAACCTCAAGATGCACTAAGTAAGGCATTTATATCTACCTTAGACTCTGTAGGTTTCACTCAAAATATAAAGGGGCCGACTCATTATTCCAGCCACACTTTAGACTTAATTCTGACCTTTGGTCTAAACATAGATAACTTCATTACCTAATCTCATATGAAATTCACTTTAGTGGTAATGTACGTTCATTACCATGCCATCGTGTTAAGTGGACTATAACTTCCTCTACAGCTGGTAGCTTTATCAGAAACCTTCCACAATTATCAGCTTCTGTCAGCTGTCCATCTAATCCTACCAAATTCAATATTATGACCAAATGCTTAGAGGATACTTTTCAATCTACTCTAGATAATGTGGCTTCATTAAAAAGTAAAACAATAAAGCAGTAAAAGCTTGCCCCCTGGTATAATGATCATACTCAAGCTTTAAAAGAGACTGTCAGACAACCAGAGCGAAAATGGTGTCTGACTAAACTAGAAGTATTCCAGTCTGCCTGGAGGGAGAGATTTATAGACTGTAGAAGAGCACTTACTGCAGCACGCTCAACCTATCTCTTCTCTTTCATAGAAAACAATAAGAATAATCCTAGATTATTATTTAGCACAATTTCTAAAATAACTAAGAACCAGTTACCGAACCCCAAATGCCATTAGCCTATAGCAGCTATGGTTTTATGAATTTCTTTAGTGATAAAATTGAAAAAATTAGGCAGAAAATTCAGAATGCACAGTTAAACTCTACAAACTTGCTGCCTTATAATGCCAGTCTAGATCTTGAGAATATTGTAACAGAGAAGCTGAAATCGTTTACCTTACTTCAACAAAACAAACTAGTTAAAATTGTTTCCTCCGCAAAATCTTCTACTTGTATGTTAGATCCAATTCCTACAGGTTTTTCCTTAAAGAAATAACCAAGCCTATTCTGTCAATAATAAACTCCTCTCTTAGCCTTAGCTATATCCCAAAAACTCTTAAACTAGCAGTAATTAGACCTCTGATTAAGAAAGCTAACCTAGATCCCTGCGAACTATCAAATTATAGACCTATCTCAAATCTTCCCTTTATATCAAAGATCTTGGAAAAAGTTGTGGCAAAACAATTAAGTTCCTATTTGCATAGGAATCATATACATTAAAAAATTCAGTCTGGTTTTAGGCCACATCATAGTGCAGAGACAGCACTAGTGAAAATTGTAAACAATCTTTTATTATTCCCAGTAACTTCCTTCTACTTAACTCAGATAAAACAGAGGTTCTGCCTCTTGGTCCAAAAGCTGCTAGAAACAAACTATCTAATTTAACAGTTAAACTTAATAGTTTCTCAGTTGTGTCAGGTTCATCTGCAAAAAATCTTGGTGTCACAATGGATCCTGATCTGTCCTTCGACACACATATAACAAATATTACTAGAATAGTCTTCCTGCATCTCTGCAATATTGCTAAATTAAGAAATGCATTATCTCCACAGGATGCAGAAAAGCTAGTTCATGCATTTATTACCTCAAGGCTAGATTACTGTAATGCCCTGCTGTCTGGATGTTCCAGCAAAAGCCTTAAGAAGCTTCAGTTAGTCCAGAACACTGCAGCCAGAGTCCTCACAAGAACCAGAAAGTTTGACCTTATCAGCCCAGTTTTATCAAATCTACACTGGGAGCCAGTTAAATTGTGCATCGATTACAAAATTCTTTTACTGACATATAGAGCTCTAAACTGACTCGTCCCTCAGTACCTGAGTGAACTTCTCTCATACTATGAACCATCACACCTACTTAGATCACAAGGTGCTGGCTTACCATTAGTACCTAGAATTAATAAAGTTACATCAGGGGGGAGAGCCTTCTCATACAAAGCCCCCCAACTTTGGAACAATCTTCCATTCAGTGTTTGGGACTAGGCTAAAACGTACTTAGTCAAGCCTTTGGTAATTAGTTTACCCTGTTAGATAAAAGGTGCAGATCTGGGGGTTCATGGACATTATAGTAATTATGGTAAACTGAAAGTGTTGGTGGGCGGCACGGTGGCGCAGTGGGTAGCGCTGTCGCCTCACAGCAAGAAGGGCCTGGGTTTGATTCGGCCGGGCGACCAGGGTCCTTTCTGTGTGGAGTTTGCCTGTTCTCCCCGTGTCTGCGTGGGTTTCCTCCGGGTACTCCGGTTTCCTCCCACAGTCCAAAAACATGCAGTCAGGCTGATTGGACATGCTGAATTGCCCCTAGGTGTGAGTGTGTGTGTGAATGTGTATGTCTGTCTGTCTGCCCTGCGATGGACTGGCGACCTGTCCAGGGTGTATCCTGCCTTCCGCCCAATGACAGCTGGGATAGGCTCCAGCACCCCACCGCGACCCAGAAGGATAAGCGGTTTAGATGATGGATGGATGAAAGTGTTGGTGCTGTCATCCTGATGCCCTCACGCGTTCACTCAAGTTTGCTGACGGTGGAGCAGACGGGCACTGACATCTCAGGGAGCCTCATGTCTCTGTTACCTTTCTGGTTTCTCCCTTTTAGTTAGGCTGTAATAACTAGACCTGCCGGAGTCTGTGCTGCACTCTGTTAATACTGTAATCTGTGATCAGTCATTCTTTACAGAACTAACTCTCTGTGTGTTTTCCTTTCCTTTGCCGAGTTGAACAGCTGCCCATCCTGTGCGGTCTGATGCTGTTGCTTCTTCTGCCTTGATAGGGTGCCCACTGCTTGCCAGCCTTCTGGACTGGTTTGACCGACATTGAGCTTCATGCTGTACAACACTGTGCAAACCTCACCCTCATGAACTGACCCTCCTGACGATGCTGCTGCATAAACTAAAACTAATCTAATTAACCATTGCTCCGCCTGTTTTCCCCGTTTTGTATTATAATATTTTATACTAATGCTGTTTCTTCCTCTTGCTCTTACAGAGTTTTTCCTTGCCACTGTCGCCATTGTCTTGTTCATGGGGGCTTGGACCCGGATTTTTCTGTAAAGCTGCTTTGTGACAACATGTGTTGTAAAAAGCACTATATAAATAAACTTTGACTTGACTTCTGTTTTTATATATTGACAACAACAAAACGTGTTATCATTTATGCAGTATAGGAGTAGTACATTCATGACAACAACTGTGCCTTTTTGTTTACCAAGTGATGACATAAAAAGCCCTAAACAAATGGCTGATTTAGAGGCCACTGTGATATTCAAAAACTCATAATGTATGTAACTTGAAACTGCAGCATACAAAACATTCTTATCCAGCCCAGTGCTGCCCCCAAGACAACATGCCTTTAGTGGACACTTTGTATCCAATCAGATCTTCACCCTCTACACTTTCCTGCCATAATAAATAAAAAATACTGCTACATTCCTCTTATCAACAGTATGACACAACATTAATGTTAAAATACAAATGTATGGATATAAATATCTTATATCTATATATAATATTTATATAACTTGAGTTCAAAGGAGTCACATATATGTGCATCTGTACAAAGTGGAGTCTGTCCTGTATACACACACAAGCCTGTTTTTCAGTCTTTCTGTCTTGTATTTATACTGACATCTGTGTAAGCGCAAGGAAAGCACGGAACTGTGCAGCAGGCCTGTTACAGTTATTACATAATCACCTGACTGCAATTATTTGAGTTCATTGCAGTTATTTAAGCTAATGATATGTTTACGTCGTAACAAACGGAATGTGAATTGGGTGCTTTTTGCATTTGAGGCAAATACATATAAAATAGCACAGAAAACGTTTATGGACACACATCATGGGTCTTCCAAAAACGATAAACGTTCTAACGTCTGACTTGGTGCTATAACACCTTTAGAGGGCAGTGGTGAGTAATGTTTTTTTATTTGAGGTGGAGCTGTGTCTGTCCCTTGGGGTTACTAAGGATCGTGCTTAAAGTGAATGGATTTTGAGGAATGGGGTTTACTGCCAAAAGTACTCTCGTGAATTGTGCATTTTTCACGTGCGCTGTAGATAAACTTACTGGGCCTGCTCTTAAACCGAGGCTAAATTATACCATACAACACCAAACTTAAAATGTCTGCGTTTTCCCGGAGACCCTGGGTCCACCAAATATAAACACATCTCCACCCCGACACGCCCACTCACCCACAGTAAGTTGAAGTAGTCGAGCGCGCAGCATATGACTGCGCACATATGTCCGAGCACCACCTGCATGCCGATGACGCTCCAGAACAGGTAGAGCAGGTAGAGCAGCGGAGCTCCGGCTCCGATGGCCAGCAGCACGTGCAGCCGCTCGAGCACGAGCGCACCCAGAGCCTCCACGCCGTAGTTGACACAGCACGCGGGCACGAGTAGCGTGCCAAGCACGATCGGCGTGCCGCTCTCGCGCAGACCGCGCAGCCACGAGCGGCCCAGGCGCGCCAGCGAGTGCTTGAACGGGTGCAGGAAGGTACCGCAGAGCACGGCCCATAGCAGTGGCCTCAAGAAGGCCTCGAGGATGAAGTAGACGAGCACGGCGGCGCCGCAGCAGATCGCCACGAAGATCATGGCGCCCGTGTTGTAGAAGGCCTGCTTAATGTTGCGGTCGAACTTGAGCGAAGACGGCTGACTCACCGAGCCCACCGCGTGCTGTAGCGGCGGCGCGCGCCCAGCCAGATCCCCGTCCACTCCCGGGGTCTCCGCGTCTGCCATGTTCGCTGGTTACCGCTCCCCTCACTCACTCACTCACTCTCCACCTCTCTCCCTCTGTTTCACCCTCTCTCACTCTGCCGGACTGACCACTGTGTACGGAACAACCACCACATAAGATAGAAAATGACGTAGTTGGCGTCAAGCACGCTGGGAAGTGTAGTCCGTCGGGATATTAGCTGTTAGTGGAACAATACAAATAGCGCTCTAAATGTTAGCAGGAGAGTCGGACAGCTAATGGTAGAACATAAACGACTTAATGTTCGACATAAAATGCACTATTTGAGTGTAGAAGCCATTAACTTAGATGCACTACATAGTGAGTAGGGAGCCATTTGAGATTCAGCCTTACTTATATAGGTGTCCAATACCGCATACTACCACACTAGCAAGTAAAAACAGTTACACCACCAATGGTAGTACATTAATTAGTATAGTACATATGTATGTGTAGTATATTGGCCACTAGCTTTATTAGGTACACCTACTTTGTATTTACAGTTATTGTCAATTTTTCATATAGGTGCACTTTGGACGTCGTTCTTCAATTACAGATTGTAAGTCGTCTGTTTCTTTGCATAAATGTAGTGCAACCGTATATTGTAGAATATGTATGTCAGTGTCACTGCTGTGCTGAGAATGCTAAGACCCTAATCACTGATTAACGGGGTAAAAAAGCTAGCAAATTAAGCAGAGGAGCAGGTGGACTACAGTCTATAACTTTAGAACTACAAAATGCACCTATATGGTAAGTGGACCTGAAAATGGACAATGGGTGTACATACAAGGCAGGTGTTCAATACGTAAAGAATATGCCCCCTCGACCACCTTAGAAACCATTTACCTTAACCGCAAGAATTATGCGCCTGAATCGTGTAGTATGGCATCCTGGTACTTTTCATCTATTATTTATTACAGTCTCGTACACATAAGGGCTGAATTATACGACTGAATAGTGTCCAGTGGCACATTTTGGCTTTTAACCAAATAGGGCATCTGAATACTTTTTGGCCACTAGCTGATGCATATTATAGTTTTAGGCACACTTTCGGGAGTATTTTTGTCATACTATTTACTACATTTTTGTAGACTTTAATTTTTTCCAACCTCATTGCTTAGAGGAGTTCTTTGTTACTTTTCATTTAAGAGTTATATATGTTAATGAGTTCTGTCCTGAATGGCTTCTCAATATTGTTTAATTTGAAAAGCAGTCCAGGCTGAAACACTGTATAACTTAAGCATGGATGGGCAGTGTAATACTGCTGTAGGCTGAATGGCTAAATATAGGTAAATTTGTTGATTTTCGTGACATTTACAAAAACAATGAATTTTGGAATTTATGGAATTTATGGTGTGTGACCAGTACATATAGAAACTTTAACAATGTTTAAATACTATATCAAAGCCTATTCTATCAAACAAATGAGGAAAATTCTGGGTGCAATATGTTGAATGACTAGATGGCTGGTGATTACTGTGCAATTTTGGTATAACGTCAGATGCCACTGTGGTCACTTGCAGGGCCCACACCATGTTCTGCAGTGCTGGCATGGTAATGTGACCATAGTGTCAGACATTGTTGTGTCTAAAGGTTTTCATCATCACAATACCGATTTAATGATGTTCCTCTTAAGTGTGAGACAGCTATTATTTTAACCAGTTGGTGAAAGCTGACCCTGTATGATATCAGGTCTAACCATCAAACTTCACTACCAAATCTGCAGAAGTACTAAGCGGCGTATGATTCAGACCAACACTAATGACATTAACATAAACAAGATTTAAAATCTGCTGTATTTGTATGCTTAACCACACAATGTGAACAAGTAACAAGTTGGTATATGAGTATGCGCTTGTCTATGTTAAAGGGGAATTCCAGCAATTTTTCAAAACCACTGCATAACTCTGTCATTAACAAAGATATTCAGAGTAGCAGTAATGTTAATGTCCTACTGTAGAAAAAAGAAATATATAGGTAAGTTTTCTTTGCTTTTTTTAGTGAAATACATCCTTCTACTTTCTAAATTAAAGGAAAGTCCTGGGCAAGTGATTAGAAACTATTTTAACCTGTTTTTGATGTAACGGGGGAAACAGGAAGTGGCCAGACTCCTCAAAAACGGGCTCTAGTATGGCTAGCTGACAAGAAACAGTGTTCGTATAAACCATCTCATAACTCAAATGGCTTAGAGTCCCTAACTACACAGGACATTATTGCATGTTGCCCAGTACATGCAGTACAACCACTACCACCTTTAAAAACAAGAATGCATGTTAATATAGCCACATATTTGTTAATAATAAATCAGCCTGTGGGCCATAACCCCACAAACAAAGAGTCAGAGTGTGCTACATTGCTGAATAATGAGATCTCGGCCTTCAGGTACAGATCAAATTCAGGTACAGTCAGTCTTTAGAGTTCCACCCTTAATCACCTGGAGACATAATAACAATGTTATAAAGACAAAAACATTACTTTAGACATGCACTGCTCATGAAAATTTGGGAACACGTGGTCATCTTCTGAAATGTTCTGAGTAACAATGGTTTTAGGTATTCTTTTCCAATTAAGTAAGATTAAGTAAGATCAGAGATCATACTTCATTTATTTAATTTCCTCAGAAGTTATTCATTTTTCAGCATGCAGAAAACCTTTAACAGAAAATGACACAGAAGTATTTCAGTATCTACTGTGCCCACACTTTGCCTTTATTACAGCTTCCATTCTTTTCAGGAGACTTGCTTTCAGTTTTTCAAAGATATCTGCAGGATTACCGTTTCAGGGATGTTATTCACACCTCTAAAGTTCAGTCTTAGAAGTTGGTTGCAGTTTCTGCTTCTCACTATTGAAGTCATTATAATTACTCGTCAGTCCCCATAAAACCTTATTCCATGTCTCAGACGTACAGTTTTCGTGTTATAGTGCTTCTTTTTTGATTGTTTCCTTTTATGAGTAACTCTCAGGCTTCGGCTTTTGTGTGATGTTTTGTTAAATACAACTGCATGCAAAAGCTTGAACACCCTGGTCAAATTATGTTTTATTGATTTTCTACAGTAAAATAACTTGACACATCCTCTACAGTGCACAATCTCTATTTATTTGCTGAGTTTAACATATTTGAAAAAAAGCATAAAATATAAAATGCCTTCAGCAAATAAACAGTAATTTTGCATTAAAATGTGCAGAAGTGTGTTCTCTGTAGAGGATGTATACTTATTTTCACTTAGAAAATCAACAAAATGTAATTTTTCCACATGTAACAACTTTTGCACGTGTATTTCTTGCTTTTTCCTTACACTGAAAAATGAATAACCTGCACATAATGGTCATTTTGCCTGGAAATTCTATAAAAGAAAGTTTGGTCTGTGGCTTTTACACAGTACTGTACAGCACAGCTTTCTATCTAATATATTAATATATTGTAAACTGACAAAGAAAACACGCTTATTTGTATTAAAGACATTTTGAAAAGCTAGCTGTCCCCAAACTTTTTTTTAACAGGCAGTAAATATTCCCAAGTGGGGTTTGTGCTCTAAATATAAAACAATACTGTGAATGTCCATATGGCACTAAAGTAAAACGACAGGTGTCAGAGTCTTCTGGTGTGACGTCCAGAGCTTCTTCATCTGTTTCTGAATCGTTCCTGGTCGAGTGGTCAAAGTGCTGAGATGGACTGGCTCAGAAATTGCTGGTTTGCTGGCATGCTTTAGCTGGCTCACGTTTCTAATACTTATCTTGCAATATGTGGTTGCACAGATGAGTGTGTACAAGGGCCTGAAGTTATCTGCATGCTACGCTTCACTCACAAGCCTCACTTCACAGTCATGTAAAATTGTTTATAGCTGACCAAAGCTAACTGTATTCAGTTCAATACACTATTCAGGGCTTTCTCTTTTATGGAGCAGAACATAAACACTATGGGCCAGTTTTGTGGACAAGGATTAAGTCTAGTCTTGGACTAAGTGGCAAAGCCAATGATGTTTCGTCAAATCCCATGTAGTCTGGGCACAGGCTTAATCTAGGACTGAGAAACGGGCCCTATATGTCTAAAAGTATCCAGACACCTGACATTTCTTCCAAAATCAAGGGTACTAATAGGGAGTTCGCCCCTCCTCGCTTGCAGTAACAGCTTCTACTCTTCTAAGAAGGCTTTATACCAGACTGGAATGTTGCTTTAGCAATTTGATTCCATTCAGCCACAAGAGCATTAGTGAGGCCAGGCCAATTAGGTCTGGATCACAAACAGCTTTCCAGTTCAGTCTAAAGGTGTTCAATGGAGTTTCATAACCCCAAAGAACGTAATTCCATGGCTTCCACCAGTAACAGCTTAACAGCAGGAAGATTTATACCACTTTAGCTGACACTCAATATTGCACTTAGTGACCTCAGGTGGGTGCATTTTTAACCCTTGGAAGTTAGGAGATTACAATTACATTCAATTTGCTTTCAGCATCGACAGCTTTGAGTCTCGCTTCTGACATTTTTGCGGCAGGGGGCGGGGGGGGTTGTTAAGGCAAAAAAAAGGCAAAAAAAAAGGACTGTAAAAGTTACTTTTCCACAAAAGATGACTGTGTTAATTACAATAACTTTACATCAAACTGAAATAAAATATCTCCTCCTTTACATACAAACAAACGTAGTAACCAACAAGTTTAAAATCTGCACTTTCAACTGAATGAGGTATGAGTGAGAAATACTTAAAGGGGAATTACATTTTTTCCAAAGAACTTTGCATAATTCAGTGGTTGAGATGTAAACAAAGTCTTTGAGAGTAGTTTGATGGGAAATGGTGGCTTGTAGAGTAATTTTCTCTAGAACTGAGTATTTAACATCAAACCACTCAAAATTTTTTTGTTTGTTCTTAACGACTTACTTAAGCAGAATTTGGAAAAATCAAACTGCACCATGCTTTTATTATTGCAGGTAATAACTGTGACTTTTGTCAGCAATGGAAGGAATGATTTGGCAAAAAAAATCACAAATTTACACAACCTGCTCAAACTACATCCAGGTCTTCACTAGGGTCACAAAGACTTGTTGATATGGTTTAGGGCACAGCTTGACTTACTAAAAATGAACAAAACTTCACAGTGTAGTAGGGCCGATTTTAAATTTACATTTCCAATATCATGTCCAACCTAGAGCGAGTTAACGGCTGAACCTGAAGAACAAGCAATTCATTTAGTGTCATACCAATATAAGCAGATAGCAAAAGAAAAATAAAGTCTGAAAGTGAAAAAAGAAATCTGGATGAATGAAAAATGAAGGATAAAGTAGTCATACACAATACAAGACACATAAGTATAACTTTGCCTTCACCCACAAGAAAAGACATCATGCCATCTGCTCGTCCTGAAAACAAACTGGCATGTTAAAATGTTAAACCGGTTAAAAGATGCCGGTAAATTGCACCAATAGGTTTTAGCCACTGCTACAACATTTACAGGCCAGATTTAAGCTGATTAATCAATTATTAGTTAATTCACATTTTTGCAGCCTTACTGTGTAGTTAAACGTAGCTAGATCACAGGTGTTTGAATTTTGACTCCTCTTTGTGTGCACACAGGCATATAGATGCTATATGTTCACTATTTCTGTTTTTTTTAATAACTGTTATTTAATTTTCTCAATAATGTTTATAAACAGAAACAACAGAAACCACAAATTTAAAACTGCATACGCGACCCTAATAAAGAGCTTGAGAGAAGTTTTGGGGATGTATTTGTGAAGAAGATTCAAGTGACTAATGACTTCTAGAGTTTGTTAGCAACATTAGCCTTGTAGCCTCAGTGCTAAACCAAGCACAACTTAGACAATAAACAAGTCTTGGCTGATCGACTACATCTGGGCTAAGTGGAAAATTGTGAAAATGTGATTTTTAGCCAAACCATTCATTTAAAGGAGCCAAATCCACCAATTACACATGGTATCTGGACACTTTTGGACGTATAGTGTATGTTTGGTTCCTCTTCAACAGTTGTGGATTAAGATTATTACTGCAGCTCCCTCTAGTGGCAGAAAAAGTGCAGTACCACTTAGTATAGGATGCTAAACGTACAGCTATGAACACACCGACACCTTGCCTGGCTACATGCAATGGCACTTGATTTGACATGCCATATCAACAAGAATACATAACACAGAGACCATACAGGAGATGCACCTGACAAGAAAAGAAAAGCTGACAAGACCAGGGACATTGCGCGTACATCTCGCAAACAGATAAGGCTGATGTCACCTCTATGGCATCCTGAATTTGTCTTATAGTAATACACACTGGATTAATAAATATGGCTAATAGTAATGTAGCCCTCTTCCTAATCTGTACTTTCCTGCAGAAATCTAGCTTGCTGGAGATGGTTCTATGCTAATCATTTCTGTACATAGCTTGCTGTTGCTAGTTTTGTGATTTTTCTCAGATGCTGTTTTATTGCTGCCGGTCTGTAACACTTTTGGATGGCCATAACACCTGCTTGTTGCAGACTCCAGGGTGAGTTTAGCTGCTTGCCCTGGTGCCCATAGTGCCTCACTGGCAGGTTGTCATGGTTATGGGGTGCCCATGAGCAGGTAGAAGGTGAGGGCCACAATGAGGAGGAGGCAGAAAGGGGAGGAGAAAGTCTGGTAGGCGGCGGCAGGCATGAAAATGTCCTCGTATTTGTAAATGCTGATCATGTGATCAGACACTGGCGGAGTGTCAATGTCGTGCCTTGTGATGGAACCTGGGAAAAGAAAATAGAGTAAATAGAGCTGTGTTTATGCTATACACCAAAGCAGTAAACCAGGAAAATGTACTGCACAGAGCAGGTCGTATATAGGTTGCATATATTAACATGTCATTTGCTAGACACCCATCAGCTAGTCCATCTTGAATGCTGTGCTAATTGTTAGCTGAGCACCAATAACAATTTTCCCTTCCAATACCAATATCTCATCCCTTACCAAGCACCAGTACTGATACTAACTCCTGATTATATATACACAATTCCACATATCAAATATTTTGTGTTGTTCTGTGTCACAATTAAAACATAAATGAATAGCATTTTTAGATGCTTAAGAAAACTTATTTTGTTTATTAACTATGCATAATTAGTATTTACTATTACATAATTGGAAATAAAAGAACCATACTTAAGTAAATATGAAATATTTTTATTGTACAAATAGTTAAAAACTAAACAATATATAGATTACCCTGTGATGCATTCGTGTAAGCGTGCCGTGACATCTATTTGTCTCACTGTCCCCACCCAGTATACTTGCATCTATATCTATGAGCCTCAGACTCAGCTGAAGTTTCTTCAATATCACAGTCATTCAGGCTAACAGTACCAGCTGTTGCTTGATGGCAGGCCACGAGACCACTTCACTGTCTAACAGAGGCACGCCAGAGACGGGCTAGTGAACACACTAGCCTGGTTAGTGGGCTGCTATGTTAAAGTATTAACCAAAACTAAAGGCTATCATCACCCCAAGAGACAGGCCGCTTCTTCCATACTTCTTGCTAATGCCTGCCTTCTCGGTAACAACCTGGACTGACATTAACTCAGACTGTAACTACACAGCGGGAGATAAGTGAGCACTGAAAGAAGGGCTCCTCTTAGCAACTGGCTGAGGATCTGAAAATGCTAACTGATGCTTACAAAGCATGCAAAGGCTGTAAAAAAATTCAAGGTGCTTCCTGGTCACAATTCCCACTGTCTGAATTTCACTAAGTGCAATTACATTAAGGGCAATTGCTAAGGGCAAGTGCGACACAGTCAGTCATGAAACTGAAACTGGAAAGAGACTGGCTTCTACAACAGGACAATAATCCATAACATACCCCCAAATTAGGGCTGGGCGATAAAACGATAATGATAATTATCGCAATATAACTTTACCTCGATAGAACGATATGACATGTTCGATAAATGTTCAATATAATACACCATTCTCACACTTCCACGTTCTTGCGAAAGCCTTGTTGGCGTTTTCTACTGCAAGGAAAGTGACACTACTCTGCTGTCGCCAGGAGAGGACGCATTTCCGAGTTTTTCTACATGAGTAGAGAGGGAGGGGGCCACGAGTAAGATGAGTCTTTAGCAACGGCTGAAACACGGAGTTATACATGCCCTGTTTGAGTGGAGCGACCGGCAATCTGTTCTCCTGCGACCGAGTGTGACTGACGAGGTCAGTGGTGTAACTATACTGTCCTACAGCGAACTCACCTCTTTCCTAACATCCTAACCAGCTTTAGCAGCGTTAAATCAAAATCACAATCCTCACAACTAAAGTCCTGTTACAGAGCTCGGACAGTCATATTTAAGTATTAGTGCATTCCCAAGCAACGAAAGTGAAAGAAAGAAGTGGGTTCATGTAAATTACAGCCCTGATGTAAACGAAAGTAAACTGAGGAAGCTGTGAGGCATTGGAGAGCGGGAGAGCGCTAACTTTCCAGGGTAGCTGTTTTTTAGCAGCTGGCTAACTTGAAGCAGCGCTCCGTCACTCCACAACACGGAGAATTGATGATACTGTAGATCAAACACGACACAAAAGCACCGCTTTCAGTTTAAACGTACCTAAAAAGAGGACTCTGTTTGTCTGGTGTTAGATATTTTGCGGTTCACCACTTAAACTACTATGATAGTATAGAGAAATCCAGTCCTCACCAGCTGGTGTCTGAATACTGTGATGTCATTTGTAATGGGGTAGCCGAGCGCTCGTCACCAGCTAAAAATAATCTGTTTTCTTTCTTAAATTATGACTATTACAAAATAGCCATGCTTTTCCGGCTGGTGAAAACAGCTTACCAGACACTTTCTCCCACTCTCCCATGACAAATTTGTGAAATGTTCCACTGTTTGGCGAGCGTTTGTCGTGTTCCGACCATAAAGGATAGTTTAAAACAGCAATTAACCACCCAGGAGCAAAAATCAGCCTTCAAACTTGAAAGAAATAATGATTTGACATTTATCGCGGTATGTATCGATATCAAACGATATGAATTTTGTTTATCATGATGACATTTTTGGCCATATCGCCCAGCTCTACCCCAAATCTACCATGAACAACTTCAAGAAACTATCTGAAGATTTTGGACTGGCCCTGACATTCCACTGACTTGAACATCTTCAAAAATCTGTGGATCATGTTGTGCATGCAAGACAGTCTAAGCATACTGCAGAGCTAGCATTCTGTCACAAAAAGTATTATATTTTCAAAATATTTTGCTGCAGAGGTTTTCACTTCAAAAATCAACAATTATGTCATTTGGTCAGGGGTGCACACTTTTGCATATAACTGGATGTGTACAACACCTAGACATACCCTGTATGGCAGGTCCCCAGGCGAACAGGTAGTACCAGCTGAGATGCAGGTCCACCAGCGTTTCCTCTCGGGGGACATGCAGAGGGCGTTTGAAGCGGCAGGTGACCCGGCTGTTCTCAAAAATTCCTTCCTCGTCCCTTGCAGGGTTACGCTTTATCTCTTTAGCCCACTGACCCACGTTGTAGAAATGATGGATCCTCACCCGCCCATTATCGTCATGGACACAGCCCATGACATCATCACCTCCCTGGAACAATGAGGATCAGATCATGTGACATCTCTATAATGTGTGCCTGTATTTGTGTGCCCATATTTGAATGTGCAAATGTGCTCTCTTTTACTCTCCCTTAGGGCTGCAAATAATGGATATTTCTATAATCAGTTAATCCACTGACTATTATTTCTTTAACTATCTATTCAAACTATTATACCTACTGTGGTTTCCTCTCACAATGCCCCATCACAGCACCACTATTATTCAATGTTCTGCCGTAGGCTCTGTTTTAAGTAGCCTAATATATACTGCTCAATCAATCAATCATACCTAATAAGTACTGTATAGCCTAATACATACTCCTGTACTTATTGTGTCCAAAAGTAGTAAGTAGTATGTACTATGTGACCAGCATAAATTTCTCCCGTGCACCAAAGATACTCGGATGTTATACAGTTGTATGTATAGTCACAAGTATAAATACCCCAAATTACATTTTGTTGATTTTCTACAAATATGTAAACACATCCGTCCAATATGTTAACCTTTTTTTGTACCAGAACTGTCCCTGTCATTCTCATTCATATACTACCAGTGACTATGGCTGGGTGATATGGCCAAAACACGGTATCACAATAAAAAAATTCATATCAGTCTACAGCGATGCATATCGCAATAAATGTCAAATCATTATTTCGTTCAAGTTTGAAAGCCGATTTTTGCTCCTGATTGGTTAATTGCTGTTTTAAACTATCCTTTATTGTCAGAACATGACAAACACTTCCACAGTGGAACATTTCACTAATTTGTCATGGGATTAGGGGTGCAACAAACGACTAATTAGATAGTTGAATAATTTATCAATTACTGAAACGAATAATCGATTAATCAGATTATGAATCACTACATTACCAAATACCTTTTATGTAGCTATTAGGTTTTAAATTTAGCTTGAGGTTGTTTTACGCATTTACTAACAATGAAGACAGTATGGATGACTAATATTTAAGAATTGCTAATACAAAAGATAAAAAAATAAAACTCCAATGTATTTTTTCCGTCAAAAGTTATAACCAAGGATGTGCAAAGTAGCAGCAACAAAATATAACAAAACTATTATAATAAAAAAAATCAAAATCAGATAAAATCGATCTAAATTTAAATGTTAAATTTAGACAGTGCAGTCTGTGCTCTGTGCATTCTACTGTCTGTCTACACTTCGCTGCAACTAAATTCTACAGTCATAGGTCTTTACTGGAACGCAGGAGAGTCTCGCTCTCCTCTGAGAGCAGATACTCCCCGCTGCAGAGAAGACGCGCTCTGATGGAGCGGATGGGAAAGTGGCGAATGTCTGTGGCAAACTTCGCTATAACCAGTTAAATAAACGTTTTGTGAAAACATTTCATTTCAACGGTAACCCTTTGTCCAGCTACCTAAACTATTAGCAAGTGGTGGCCAGCGTTCGCGAAGAACAGAAAACTGTTTGCAAACGCTCTCCTATGTTGGTCGAATCTGAACGCACCGGTGGCCTCGGCGTTAAGAAGACGATGCTGTGTTTAAAAGTGTAAGCGTTATCTGGAAAGTGAACAGGGTCGCTGTGAATAATAATAATAGTTACTTGGTTCTCTGTTCCAACTAAATTAACCATTCCAGAAAAAATGCATTTCGAAAATGAAAATGTTACAGCTCGGTTCACAACATGAAGTAGGGCGGCTTTTAGCGTTAACATTAGCTAACTAGCTCGCTAGCACAACTATCGCCGCGTCCCAAATCACACAATTCTGTACTTCACATACGACACTAACGAGTGCACCTCTAATGGTATTTGCGCTATTTTTATACACTAATTAGGTTGCTAGTATGCGATTTGGGACGGGGCGTATCTTACCGAGATGAATCTTCTTCATCCAGTGAACCGACAAGTTTCCTCTTCAGATGCTCCTATATGGAGGATGTGCTCCCGTGCCAGCTAAGGTCGGCTTTACAAATAGCACAACTGACAATCTTTTTTTCTGAGTTTAGCTCCACACTTTTGAGGATTGTGTTCTTGAGGCTGCCATCGCGCTGTCGTTCAGTCTCCAGTGAGCGGTAATGTCAAAACGTTTCTAGTGAGCGTGAGAAAGACGCGTAATGACGTCACCAACTAATCGACTACTAAATTAGTTGCCAACTAATTTGGTCGTTGATTTTAGTCGACTAAGTCGAATAATCGTTGCACCCCTACATGGGATAGTGGGAGAAAGTTTCTTGTTAGCTGTTTTTACCAGCTGGGAAAGCACGGCCGGAATTTTTGTAATATTCATAATTTAAGAAAGAAAATAAATTATTTTTAGCTGTCTGATGATAAAAGTGCTAAACTGTTTAGTTTCTTAACAACATCAGCTTAGTACGAACAGCAAGCATTAGCTGGCTCGGTACATCAATAATGGATCACACTGCCTTACTGCCATCACTCCTACCACATCCATGTCAGAGCATATCACAGTATTCAAACACCAGCCAGCAGACATCTGGATTTTTCTATTCTATCATAGTGGTTTGCTAAACCACAACCTAGCTAATTAGTTAGTTATATTACTTGCTGTTGTTGTTTGCTCTAGCAGTATGTCATGATGTTTGTTCGTACAATGTTTGCAAAGGGTTTTATGGCCATGGAGATCTAAAAAAAACAAGTTTGCTAGCCCAGATTTGTTTGCCTTGGCAATACACATCCATGAATTTAGGGGAGAGCTTCTGATGAAGCACTGCACCGAAACCTTGGTAAAGTTTCAGTAGTTACATGATTGTTTGGGAGTGACAAAACGGAATGTTCAATCATTTGTTTCATTAAAATAAACATAGTTAAAGTAGAGTGTCATTCAAGGCAAAAGAATTTAGTCTAAAGTCAGTTAAAAGCATGAAATGTATATTCAATAAAATGATCCACGTTTTTGCTGTAGACATTGAGACCCTTGGAGTCAGTAAGTTTCTCTGTAATGCACCATATTACATTAAACCATTCTGAATGACTTTGTTTACATCACCATGGGTGAATTATGTGAACTAATTGAAAAATTAGTGGAATTCTCCTTTTATACTGATGTAATATTACTGATAACCACTCATGCTTGCATCAGTCAGCAAACCAAAAATACCTCATATGAATTCTTTCCTCTTACATTTTAATTTGCTCTTCTTATTTATTTACCATTTTCTTGTCGGAAGAAAAGCCCACAGCAACCCAGCCATCTGTGTCTGCGCTCATCTCAAACTCCACATCTGTGCCAATGCGCCTGTAACTCAGGAAGTAGTCACATGTTTCGGCATCACAGCCAGGCTTTCCATACCTACACACACAAACACATATAAACAGACAGGTAGACAGAGAAAAACAGATGAAGCATAAGCACAGGAGCTTCAACCGTACAAATGTATTAATAGTTTAAGTACAGTGTTCCATTGAATACTTTTCGCATAGGTGATCTGGCATCACACACACTTGATTAAACAGGAATACGCTCACCTACGGTGCGCCAAATTGGTAAACAGTGCATTACTGCAAGTCAAGCAGTACTGTAGCACCTGATATTATTTTTATTATTATAACATTATGCCATAAAGTGCAATTTCCCCCTTACCTCAAATGTTGAACAGCTAAAATATGTGTAGTAGTGGAAGCTTATGATCACCAATTAGCATTGAGTACACTACATGCATTAATCATGACACACAAACCTCAAACCATGTTAAGTTATGTAAACTCAGAGATACTTACTTATAAGCTTCTTGACTCTATATGACATACTTCAATAAAAACGGAAACTTCAGATGCCAAATACATCTTGGCTGATCAACATTTAGGGGAAATTTCATAAATCAGATTTTTTGCTGAACTCTTGCTTTCAGCTCACCTGATACAGCCTTTGGTTATTCCACAGTCACTGACTTTGATGCGAGCAAATGGGTCAACAGGAGGTGCAGTTGGAAAGGGATAACCTGAATGACACACATCAAACAACACACTTCATGTTAAAAGTGAATAAATTATTATAAGAAACCAGGAACAAACAAAGAATAGATTCTTATTCATTTTTAAAACTGGAATATATAGCAATATGTTGTTGACACAGTGCAAAAGTAGCATTGGCACACCTTTATCATAATTTGTTTCTTAATTATTTAATTTGTTAATGTATTCTGGAAATCAGTGTTCATAACCTGCCACACAAGCCTAGCTGACCATCAGTGTGCACAGAAGACTTCAAGCTGTCATCAAAAAGACAGGATATGAAACAAAAGACTGACCTAATTTAACACTGACATTTTCTTGTTTTACTTAGAAACCCAATTCCAAAAATGTGGGGAAAGTATGTGAAATGCTAATAATTAATTAATTGATAATTATATTCATTTTTCCTTACCTGTATTGAATTGAAAACACTATAAAATCACAATATTTGATATTTTACCTTATGAATGTTATTGTTTTTTGGTAAATATATGCTCATTTTAATTTTGATGCCTGCAACACATTCCAAAAAGTTAAGACAGGAGCATGTTTGCCACTGTGTTATATCACCGTTCCTTTTAACAATACCTAATTGTTTAGGGACTAAAGACACCAATTTATACTGCTCTGTTACACAATTCTTTAGTTGCACAAGCACTTGGGGCCTTCAGTGTCGTATTTTGTGCTTTACAATGCACCACATATTTTCAATTGGAGACAGGCAGACCAATCTAGCACCCACACTCTCTGATTACGCAGCCGTGCTGTTGTAAGACATGCAGAAGGTTTCTTGATGTTGTCATGCTAAAATAAGCATGGACATCCCTAAATGACCCTGGCTGTTGAACCTTACGCTGGTAACAATTTGGATGGTGCTTTCTTTCTTTGGCCCAGAGAACACAACATCCATTATTTCCATAAACAATCTGAGAGGTTAACTCATCAGGCTACAACACACATTTCCACTGTGCATGAGACCATTTCAGGAGAGCTTTAGCCCAAAGAAGTCAGCAGTGTTTCTGGATTCTGTTGACATATTGCTTTCACTGTGCAGAGTGCAGTCTTAAATTGCATTTGTGGATACAGCGACAGATGTTAATTGACGGTGGTGATCTCAAGTGTGATCTTCATCACAGAAGCATGCCTATTTCTAATGCAGTACCGTCTGAGAGACCGAATGTCATTGGCATTCAGTTGTGGTTTTTGGCCTTTTACTTTCTGCACAGAGGTTTCTCTGAACTCCCTGAATCTTTTGATGATTATTCAGTGATTATGCACTATAAAGTGTGAAATACATAAAATCTTTGCTGATAAATGTTATTTTTGAACTTAATTTATATTTTTATAATTTACATTTTTTGCTCATGCATTTTCACAAAGTGGTGAGCCTCAACCCACCCTTGTTCATAATGGTTTACGCCATTCCTGGATGCTCCTTTTATATCCAAGCATGACTGCATCATCTGTTTCAGGTGTTTTTTAAAATTCCTTTTTTGGAACGTGTTGCAGGCATCAATTTTAGAAGTAATGTTTATTTACAACAAACAATGAAGTTGATAGGATACAATTTGACACATCTTGTCTTTGCATTGTTTTCATTCAAATACGAGTCAGAGTGTACTTATAATTCACTGCTTTCTGTTTTTATTTGCATTTTGCCTAATGTCCCAACTTTTCTGGAACGGGGTTTGTAAAAGCAGAAAAAGTACATAAGCTTAATCTGTACCAAAGGAACTGAGGAAAATTAAACAGTCAAAGTATTACATTTTTTCAGGGCCAGAAAGTGAAACATTCTTGATGGGCCAAATAAATCACTCAAGATAAACCTCATTTAACATGCATCTCACTTGCAAGCTTGAAGGCAAAAACTTAATACAAGCCCAATTTCAATAATGTTGGGACACAAATACAAATAAAAACAGAAAGCAGTGATTTGTAAACTGTCTTTTACAGATATATAGCTGAAACAGCACAAAGAAGAGATATTTTACTATTTTACCTTTTCACCCCTATCATTTTCAACCCTATTTTACCTTATCAATGACTACATGGAATTTAGAGATTTTACCATCTATAGTCCATAACATTATTGAAAGATACAGAGAATACAGAGAAATCTCTGTGCATAAAGCACAAGGCCAAAAACCAATTCTGAATGCCTGTGATCTTCAATCGTTCAGAAGGCACTGCATTAAAAATCGCCATGCTTCTATAACAAATATGACCACATGGGTCAAGACTGTAAGGCAGAAGCCATACATCGACAACATCCAGACTACCGACTTCTGTGGGCTAAAGCTCATCTGACATGGACTGACACGAAGTGGAAATGTGTTCTGTGGTCTGACAAATTCACCTTTGAAATGTTGTTGTGTTCTCCTGGCTAAAGAGGAAAAACACCATCACAGTGAACATTGTAAAAAAGAAAGGTGACATGCTTGTAAATATCCCCCTGTCTCTACTTTTCTGGAACACGTCTGGAGCAGATCTAGAATAAGTGTACACATACAATACAGTTAAATGGTTGAAACATTGAATATCTTGTCTTTGTACTGTTTACAATTGAATAGAGGTCTAAAAAGATTTGCAAACTATTGCTGTCTGTTTTTACTTATATTTTTCCTACTGTCCCAACCTTTTTGGGATTTGGTTTGTAAAACAAATAAGGACTGTAAATTGTAGTGCCTTATTAACCTCTTAAGCCTTTATTTTTTACCAGTTGCTGGACATCTTTCTTAGGCCCAATGAAGGGGCTAAGAAAGATGTCCAGCAACTGGTAAAATATTTGGAGCAAATAAAAAAGACAGCTGCAAAGCATTAGCATTAGCAACCAAGACTCAAATTATGTACAAAAATTTGTCCAATAGTTTATTTTCCCTACGGGGACTGTATCAAACTGTGACTGCTATATAGTATGATACAGAATTTAAAAAGCTCAATTCAAATATTTACTTACAAACTGCTCTGTACACCTTAGGTGGAAAGCACCAGGAGTAGCACTAAACATTTGTTGTGTTTTTTAGTGTTAACTTGTGATAGAGTAGAAAACGTTTAAGAAAAGAATCAGAAATAAGTGTTTTTATTTTTTAGGAATATGTGTGTTTATTTGCTAAATGCTAATGGAGACAGAATACCTTTAAACACCATAAAGCAAGAGTTTACAGGTAGTCATTTAGGCCTGGGAAAAGACCCATGAGCAGATCTGGGCAGAATACTTTAAGAAAGCAGTGATGGTTGAGTACTGAATACACTGTCCTAAATGTATTCAATAATGTATCCCATTACAATACTTAGAAAGTATTGTATTACTATTTATCCTAAATACAATTAGAATACATTTAGAATACATATTGATAAGGCACTCTTGGGAAAAATCTGCTGTTGTCATTTTTATTTCTTCACAGAGTTCTTCTGTTAATATGTGTCATGAAACAAATCACTTATTTAACCCTTTAAATGGCCATGTCCATGTAGTTAATGAACAATAAGCCTTAGTATGTAATAAGCATGTGATTTTAAGGGGTTAAATGAGCAAAATTCTCAACATTATTTTGGCTCTCATTGCCTTCTTCAGTCCCCTGCTGCTCCCACAATCCCACTGCCATCTCATAGACTAAGCAAACAATTTGCCATATTCCAACAACAAAATCTTGCATAAATAACTCGTTTATCATACTGATATATTACTCTATTTCAGTGTTTGTAAAGAAGACATGTTTTGAGTTCTTTATCATTGACATTTAAAATAATTAATAAACAAACTTTGGAGGTGTTTCTTTTAAAGAAGGTATATATATATTTTCATTTAGTAAGTATTCAAAAAGTACTTACAAAATTAAAAGGTAACTGTATTCTGAATACTGTCTTTACAAAATGTAACTTGGACCGAATACAGATACTGAATTTCTGTACTCTGAATATGTATTCCCAATACTTGTATTGCATTACACCCCAACCGTGTCCACCAGAAGTCCACCGTAAAACAGAGAATGGCCTGTTCCACTGAGAGAGGGGAGGGGGCGGGGTTAGCCGCGGGGTGCTGACCAAGGTGCTGAATGAACGAGGCACTTCAAAAACGGGCCGATTGTCCTACTATAAACCTACCAGGATCTGTCTGTCCACAAAATACATAGAAAAATACTCTGAACATTAATTAGGTTAAGCTATCCATTAACAACAGACCTAATATAAGCACTCTGGCCTCATTCCTCCTCTTAAGATGATACGAATGTGAAAAGCAGCTTCAGCTGGAGCTTCAACAGTATCTAGCAGCTCAAAAGCTTTCGTTTCGTTCCTAGCATCAAGTTTGCTAAGTAGGCGGTGCCAGAACCCTCTTACCTTCATCCGAAAGGTATCTGGACTCGAGGAATTCCGAGGCGAAAGTGCTATATGAGTCTTTATGGTGGTCTTTGTGTCCCGGCTCTCCGTGCTCTCCATGGCCGCCTCTCAGAGCGTTATCGTCGGTAGGACTGGCTACGGCCGCAAGCCACAGAGTGGGCTCCAACAGCAGAGAGAGCTGCAGGAGAAAACATCACCACAGGCGTCTGAACAGATTTATCTCACCAACGAAGCGAAAGGGACGCGCGTTCTGGGTCGCATTGGGTCCAAAGACGTAGCATTAGACCACACAGCGCATAATAAGCCAAGTTTATGAAAAGCAATCGGATTAATAATGATGTTATTAGATGTACAGCTTCGATGAGATTGCGCCAATGAGGAGGATTTGAGGCGGGGGCTCCGTAACGAATAAGGCTAAACCAATCGAGGGATCAGAGAGGGATTTGTAACATAGCTGTTGTTGTTTAGGCAAAGCTAAATAATCTCCGTGAGAAATTTCACGACATATATCTTGGAACAAAGATTTAACGTCGGCTAATTATCCGATACTGCATTTCTATTTATTGTTACTTTGTTAATCCTTAATTTTTAATCTTGTCCACCCCCCTTTCGTTGCACCTTTTTCTCTCCTTCCCCCCATATCAACACCGAGACTGACACGTTGGGGCCCAATACGAGAGCACTACGTGAAAACGTAATGGAGTCAGTTTTTAACGTTGCCTTCAGAGGCTTGTTTACTAGCATCAGAACCGTATTGCAAATGGATAAACTGTACAATCTATGCACACCTAAAAATGTGGTTCTTCAAACGTTATTTAGTAACGGCAGTGGTTCTATTTAGAACCATGAATGCTATATAGAACCATTTCAGTTGTAAGACTTGATTAATATTCATTTTATTTTCATTTCACCATCAAAGCCCCATTTAAGTATGAAATGGTCCTATATAAAACTCCTGGTTCTAAATAGAACCAAGAAATCCTTGAACAACCATCTTTTTTAAGTGTGTAGTTAGATATAATCAAGTGTTACAAGAGAATCTTACCAAAGAAAAATAACAAACACTTAACTGCTTACTTTGTGTACTAAAATAAAGTACAAATAAATATTGCTTGAATTAGATGGTTAAGTCCATGTTGAATTGTTCAGTTTCCTCATTTGATATAACACATATCGCACATTAGATCAATGTTTCTCAATCCTGGTCCTGGCTGAGCTCTTTCTATTCGGGTCACAAGGTGACTTTCAAGGTCTTCATGATTGTGAACTAGGTGTCAGTGTGCATTGCAGGGATGTTCCACAGCTACGGAACCTCTGGGTTGTTAGCTCATTGTGACTAACATTTGATCACTGTCACACAATTATTATTCATATCAGAAAGCAATGAAATCAACATAAACCATTACATGTTGTTTGAAAGCAATGTTGAAAATCATGCATTATATTGTTGTACTCCCAGGCTTAGGGAATTCATCCTTCTCTGAGTGGCGCTAAATAATATAAAATTATCAGTGCAGATTGGATTTACATTGCTGGTTTTCTCACTTCTTGACTCAGAAGACACTCGTAGGTTTCCTTCTGGTGGTTTTGGATAGTAAATAGTTTGTGCTCCCTGGTTCTTATCACCACTACTGTAAAAAAATCCAAGTCTGTAAGCAGACATTTTAAAAAATCAGTGAATTTACCCTTTAATCATTGATAATTTTGCATACATCCAGTGTTTACTTCTGCATGAGAGTGAAGTTCTGTGGACAGATGTGTTCATTAATTAAGTCAAGACCAGATCAAGGAAGAGAAGAGAGCTGGTTATGGCTGTCTTAACTCTCCACTTTTCTCGTGCCTCTGATTATTCTAATTTTGATAATCTGGTTAGTCTTGACATCGGAGAGATCCAAAATAGAGATATTCTGTGACACCCCATAACTCTAGCCCTACAATATTAGAATAAATGACCACTGCACACTTCCCTATACTTGTTTAAATTTTTCTATTGCTATCGGTGGTACATTATGGTGATACATCTGTGGAATACAGTAAGTATATCATGAGGTTTATTCTTAGAATGTTTTATATAGTCATGGGTCTGTTGGCATGACAGAAAAGTGCAGAATTGCCACTAATTACTTTCCATTTGAAAAGAGATGGAAAGTAATTACAACTACTCTCTTTACCATACCTCAGTAGATTTTTCCCTGTAACAGTAATTTTAGAGAACAAATAAGTCAAAAATAGCTTTTACTGAAGATTATTTCTAATATAAAGAAAGTATTCAACTTTTAGTTTAATTTTGATAAGTGTTATAGTGTGAAAAATGTCTCTTCCACCACTCCAACCTGAGGAAGCAATTAGCGGGCTGTCTGGCTATTCTTAGCTAAATAGCTGCTTCTCTTTTAATTTTTCTTCTTTTTGCTCATTTTAGAATAACAAGAATGACTCAATAATGACTCAACCAAAATGTTCTTTATTTACTCTAAAGCCGCTTACTTTTTAGTTAGCTAATGTTGCTAATTTAAGCTGATGTTCAAGGTAAACTAATGGGTTAGCTTAGCCAATAAACATAGTAAAACTACGAGGAGAGTACCTATGTTCTCAGGGTTCTACATTCTCAGGCTTCTATGTTCCCAAAGTTCTGTGTTCCCTGGGCCCTATGTTCAGCTTTTTATATGATACATTTTACCTCAGAATTATACATTAAGGAAACCTATGAAAAGGTTTCCAAGCACATGGCTAACATCATGGGATCATCAAAAGTCATAAAGGGAACAAAAAGGAGCAGATTTGTCCAATTTTCCAATGAGGCACTTTGCCTCAGCTAGGCTAGCTTCAGTGTGCTAATTAGCTAGGTAAGCAAACTTTGTAATCCAGTCCATTTTTTCGAGAAATGAGTATAGAATACATAATTGTTTGATTAATTAATTGTATCTATATTCTTAGTTGTGCAGCCTTTAGCTTGCTAACAAGCAAGTTAGCAGAATAAAGTAACAAACTCGAGATGCTAAGGGATTCCCAAAGGGGTAAATGGTGTAAAGAAGTTGAGGAGGTTAAGTTAAAAACACTGCTGACATGGAGGGTAGATGCTGTTGAAGATGTGCTCAGGAGGTATAGTTACTCTTTTTTTTTTAATTGAGGAAATATTATTGAGGCACCAGCAGAACACAGCGAAATTGCCCATGAAAATTTAAATGAGGAAACCTTGGGCTCTGGGAACATAGGACCCTGTAAATATTGGGCTGTATAGGGAACAAAGAGCCAGGGAAATGTAGTGATGACCCCAAACGGCCACCTTACTGCAAGGTCAGTATTAACACAGGTAACATAATTTAACTGAATAATTCTTTAAGTAAACTTGTATTCTAGAAACCAGCTTATTTGCAGTGATTTTCTTGTACTGATTGAGTTACCCAGCCTAAAGCTATAGTTCAATAAGTAAACTATTGTAGCATTTTGTAGCACCACATTATACCCCTTAGCGGAAATCGGTTTGACAGAATTCTTGATTTAATATAATTTTCATGTTTTTGTTCATCAATATTTTCTTACAACAATACCCAGCACGCATTATGTAAATACAACCCCATTTCCAAAAAAGTTTGGACACTGTGTAAAATGTAAATAAAAACAAAATGCAATGATGTGCAAATCATTTAAACCCTATATTTCATTGAAAATAGTACAAAGACAACATATCACATGTTGAAGCTCCACACTGTGAAAGACTGCATGATCAAATTACTTAATTAATATATAAATTCAAGAATAACATTTCTCAATGTAAAATAGCAAAGAACTTTTGCCTTCATCATCTATGATACATAATAACATTTAAATATTCAGAAAATCTGGAGAAATCTCTGTATGCAAGGGACAAGGCCAAAAACCAGTATTTGCTGGCTGTGATCTTTGGGACCTCAGGCAGCACTGCACTGAAAACAGACATGATTCTGTAATGGAAATCACTGCATGAGCTCAGAAACACTTCTGAAAACCACTGTCTGTGAACACAGTTCGTCGCTGCATCCACAAATGCAAGTTAAAACTCTAAAACATATAACATAAAACTCTAAAACATATAACATATGTGACATATAACAATAATATGAAGTGCAGCACATTATAGGTTTTACAGCAAAATATAAATCTATTAATATGAAAGATATGGGAACACATCTGTGAGTAGCACCGCTTGATATTTCGGTGGTGACACAATGAAAAAGCACTGTAGTTCAGCTTGAACTTCAGTGGAAGTTCTTCACAGTTATATGGCGCATCAAATATTCTGCTGTTATATTACATTTGTAGTTACTGTGCTTACATGTTAGCAAAATGACAGTTTCACAAACGTTTTACTAATTTTTTATCAGTTATGAAAAATACCTAATGGCTAAATGAGTTGCAATTTAAAAAGTTTAAAATGTAACTATAAGATGGTTTGTCTGCAAATGCCCTCCTAATCTCTGTGGTCTGTAGTCTCTTTAGTCACAGACCTATGGGCTATCAAATAAACCAAACTAACATTTGGTCATACTTTGGTCATCAGGCAAAATTGTAAAGAAAACAACGATTCTGTCTTTATTCACCACAAAATGGACACCAGTGCAGAAGCATAGCCTAAACCTTTTCAATGGGGTGGCCAGGTTAGTTTCAGCGGTTTCAATGGGGTGGCAAACTGCATCAGTAATTCTATGAATAATAACAAAATAACAAAATTTTTTATTTGTTAGGTGAGACTGCATGATTAAAATGGTTTGCGGACATGATAAGAGGCAACATCTGTTGTACAACCTACATATTAAACATATTTAGAGTAGTTGTCATTTCACATAGTGACTTAAGGCCCAGTCATGATAATACAGAATTCTTAGGGGGATTTTAATTTTTTAGGATAATATGGAATTGTATATCTCAGACTGTAAGCTTGGTGTGCACTGCCTAGGAACTGTAAATTAGTCACTAGATGGCAGTGTTGATTCAGCAGCTGGAGTCATATTTGCGTTACCTTCTTTTGTCTTTAACATATATTTGAGAAAACTAACAGTAACTGTTCAGTACAGAAATATTCTCCACAGTTTTAGCACAAGGTGCTTTAAGGCTAAGACTGTCCCAAAGGGGCCCAAAGAGCATCAACATTCAATGTATGTAAGAAAAAAAAATATCAACAACTGAAGATATTTTAGAGATTTGGGGTTTGAA